AGCCCTAGTCCTGGGTCCAAGACCCTGGGGGAGCTTTTCTCCACTCTGGCAGTTTCAAAGGATCTTTGGAGCTCACTTTTTTCCTCAGTGAAGCAGCTTCTGCTCCTAGACTGTGGACTACAGAGTAGTGATTTTATACCCCCCCACCAGTCCCCCATCCCAAGAAATTTGGCGAAGTTTGGTGACATTTTGATTGTCATAGTTTTAGGATGTTACTGGGATCTTTAGGGTGGAGGCCAGGAAGGCTGTTAAGCGTCTTGCAGGGCACATCAAAGAATCTTCTGGTCTACCATGGCTGTAGGGCCATGGCTGAAGATAGTCTAGAGGGTTCTTCAGTTGCCCTGCTTTCTCAGGGTGCTGGAAGCTATCTGGGTATGGAGGTAGTTTAGTAAACTTTTGTGTGATTGCAAAGATCACCCCTTCTGCGTTCCTCATTCTGCCCAGCAGTTGGGGACCCTTGATTGCCAGTGGCTGCAGAGCTTGCTTGACAAAGAGCTGCAGGTGGTCACTAAAGCCTAACATTTTTGTCCTCAGAAAAATCAGTTCTGTCCCTCCCCATCATCTGTTTCGTAAATGAAATGGTGTTAGTCCACACATAGGACCCTGCTTATTGTCCAGGGATGTCAAATTAGATAGCTTATGGGGTTATCAAGTGGCTGTATCAGGACTAGCCTTTGTCGGGGAAAAGAATTCTAAAACTAAAAGATAAGGGTGGTGCCTGTCACTGTATAAGGTAGATCTGACCCAGCATAGTGGGGGAGTGGCTTGCCTGCTGGCACAGACCAGCTTTTCAAGATGGCACTTAACTAGGGAAGCTGGGAATTCAGGCTTGCACCAGAGGCTAGTTGTTCACACATGGGATTGCTGCATGAACGGGGATGAAGACCGGATTGGGCAGTCATTCCTTGTTCTATTTTTGAAGTTTTTTGGCTTCAGCCAGTGTTTCACATGAGTAAAGGAAAGTTGGCTGATGTAATTCAGTTTAAAATAGGTGTCACCTTTGGGGACATAACCTACTTTGTAATTTTCATTTGTGTGCTGGGTATTCAGAACTCAGCAGTGAATGTTGTGAGACAAGGGAGCAAATGGCTCATTTTGTGGGCAAAAGTGGGACCTTGCTGACCTAGAATCCCTCCCCCCCCCTTTCTGTTTTGAGGCAGGGTCTAACTGTGTAGCTCTCTCTGACTGGCCTTGAGTCTGTCTGTCTCTTCCTGAATGCTGAGATTTAAAGGTGCCACTATGCCTGGCCTGGGAGGTAGATTGCCACAACTTGATTTCTTCTAGTTTGATAAGAGGCACCGAGTAAAGAGTTAGGATGTATTTGTTTCTATTCTTCCCTTGTGCACCAAGTCCTGCAGGGCAGACAGTGCCTAGTACCGGGGAGGTCATGTAGGCTCTGTCAGGTTCTATTACAAAAGTGGGCAGGGTTTGAGGAGGAAAGTTCAGGGAGATTTGCAGGAAGAGCTTGCAGGTTAGCAGAGGTACCCTCCACTCCTTCCTCTAGATTAGGAAAGCTCAAGGCTATAACAGGCTGTGCCAGCCTAGAAGAGGTCAGCAGGAGCCAGTGGGTAACACATACAGATACGATCCCTTGATTACTTGAGCTGTTTATGAAGTAAGGTCATCAATGAGCATGGATGTGTTTGAGCTTAGCCATCCTTAACTGGCCTTGATGCACAGGGGACATGCTTCGGGCGTTCCATGCAGCTTTGCGGAACTCTCCAATCAACACGAAAAATCAAGCTGTGAAGGTAAAGACGCTGTGCTGCAGCTCTGCCTGGTGCTCAGGACCAGGGTTTTGTGGCCTCAGCAGCAGCATGAGCTCCTTGGGGCCTGGACAGCAACTCTACATCAGTGGGAGGGAGGTGCTACTGGGCATTGTTTTCCACTGACGCCACGTCTATTCCCCAGATACTGGTGCAGTAGGTTGCTTGATAACCTTGTAATCTGTAGAGTCTAAGGCCTTACCGATGTATCAAAATTAATGACACTTGAGACTGGGCTAAGTTCAGTGGTAGAGGGCTTGTTGAGCATGTGGACTGCCCTGGGTTCAATCCCTGACACCAAAAAGTCATATTTACCCGCAGTAAACTAATTGTTCTCTTGACACTAAGTGGAATCACTTGCTTGTAGAAATACGGTATTCAGTGAAATGTAAAGCCAAAGAAGTTGAGCTCATCTATGTAGCTCTGCTCTAGACCAGTTAGAAATGGATGGTGTTTCTGTCATGTTTTGTTCAGTGGTATTCTGTAGCAGTGTTAGGATTGCAACTCCTGGCCTCACTCACTTTTTCTTTCCTCTGTAGGACCGAGCCCAGGGTGTAGTCTTGAAAGTACTCACAAACTTTAAGAGCAGCGAGATTGAGCAGGCTGTGCAGTCACTGGACAGAAATGGCATTGACTTGTTAATGAAGTACATTTATAAAGGGTTTGAGAAGCCCACAGAGAATAGCAGTGCAGTGTTACTCCAGTGGCATGAAAAGGTATGTGTGACTTCATCGCCCCACCGCAGCGTTCACATGGAGGAATGCAGGCCCAAGCTGCCATTTGTAGTTTCTCTGCACTCTGGAAGCACCTCATCAGGATCTTCAATACTGGCAGTTATATTACGTTTGTGTTTTAGCTGTGGATTTAGGTTAGGCAGGACAAACTACGCCTGATACAGGACACGAGGCAGGTGCCGTGGTGAGGTAGGAAGGGGCTTGATGTTTTCTTTGATTGTGAAAGAACTGCTACAAAGAGGGAGTTGATGACATGTTAGAAATGCAGGCCGTCTCACTGGCAATTGGCAGAAATCTGAGTCATTTAGTATGACTGTCATTCACTTGAAGTAGAAAAGGCTTTTTTGTCCTTTACTTGAAGGGTATAGGACTAAGGCCATATGTCATGCTTTTGTCCTCCTTATGTATCAGTCGACATCCCCCCATCCCCACAATACTGAAGCAAATACACCCACCACTTAAGGGGACCAGTCTGTGATGAATACAGGTTTTTCCTAATTATTTATTTTTATTTTATGTGCATTGGTGTTTTTCTGCATGTATATCTGTGTGAGGGTGTCAGATTCCCCGGAACTGGAGTTACAGCCAGTGCTCTGAACTGCTGAGCCATCTCTCCAGCCCTCCATGAATATGGTTCTTGCCAAGAGGTTCAGCATGGGATTTTTTAAGGGTCTTATGTAGCTCAGGTTAGCCTCAAATTTGTTTAACTGGGGATGGCTTTGAATTTGTGAGATTGCAGGCATGTGCCACCATACTGGGGTTTTTATGGTGCTGGGATGGAATCCTGGGCTTCATGTATGCTGGCTGGATACTCAACCACATCTTCAGCTTCAGATTTTTTTCAATGCTAGAGGCAGAACCAGGATTCTGGTATGTGTTAGGCAATGCGTCACTGAACTAGACCCCTTCGCAGTACTGAGTTTTAAGAGTGCTTTTACTAGTAGGTCAATTTCCAGCCAAGTGTTGGGCTATGGCCTATGGTCCTCCTGGTTGGCAGTGCCTGAGCTCAGAAGTTGCTGGTGGTGGTGACTCTTAGGTGGTGTGGTAGCCAGGTTCTTTCATCCCTATGAGGTGACTCTTTAAGTCTGTCACAGGCTTCATGGGCTGCTGTGCATGTTCATGGATAGGTAGGTGCTGGCAGGCTGAAAGCAATGAGCTTGTTACAAGGAAACTCAGGCTCTGCTTTGTGCTTGGGGTCCTAAGCCAGTTCTGTTGCTTCAAGTGTTGGCAGCTTTTGGGACTCTTGGCTCCAGGACAGCACTGTCCCTAGAACTTGATCTTTCTCAGCAAGTCTGTGACATGGTGGGATTTAGGTCTGGGAATTAACTCTCCAGTTGAATGAAGGAAGCTCCCCTCTGGCCAATCAGATACCCTTTGACACGTATCCTTTTCCTGTTCCCACAGGCCTTAGCTGTAGGAGGACTAGGCTCCATTATAAGAGTTCTCACAGCAAGAAAGACTGTTTAAAAAAAAGAATCATACTATCTTGAGAAGAATTTTGGATGCCCAGGCTGGTGAAGAAGGGACTGACAATGGACCATCTTCCTGAACTCCCAACTAAATATTTCAGGAAACATATCTGCTGAAATGTATTTTATTTTTAGGTGGAAGGAGAAATTGTCTTATTGTTTCCTAAATTCTTTGCAGGATCAGTGTCTCTGCCTTTGTCTACAGAGTAATACAGAACTGACACTTGACTATCAAGACTGACTGGCCAGATTATGTCAGGTGTACCTGTGTGTACTTTCTGTTTGCCATGGGGAGGGACTATTTGGGCAGGTGCAGATCCAAGGGCTGCTGTGAAAAGGAGAGCTTGGGTTCTGAAGTGGAAAACCTGAGAGTTTGTACAGACACTGTCTTGCAGAGAAGACAGGCTGTCTCGGGTTCATTGTAAAGTGCCTGCTGCATCAATAAAGCTCTTGGCTTATTTGTCTATTCATTTCGGTGTGTTCTCTGTATGTTACATGGTAAAGAGAGGGATGGTAATGAATGATAGTTTGATGGTTTGGAAAACTGATGCGGAAGGGGTACGGGTGTCCCTGTCCTGCCAGCTCTGGGGGGTTGGCAAGTATGGCAGAGCCACTGCTATGCCACACTGACCACATTGATGGATGCTACCGAGAGGCATTTTGCTGAGTATCTATTGTTTTTTACTCTTTTTATTTGTATGTAATTTTTGAGCTTAATAAAATGTCAAACATTTAATTGATTGAGGCTTCAAAGGTTATCCGTTTGTGTGATTACAGTTGGAGTCTTGGGCAGGTTCTCTTGGTGTAGGGTCTTTGTCATGCCTTGACAACCTTTCTTTCGAGACTAAACCCCAGCAATTGAATTAGCCATTAGCCATAAAGCAAATGTTCCTGGGTGTCACAACCGCAGCGTAAATGCTGGCAGAGGCTTCCATTTCATATTTCTGCAGCCAAAGTACCGTAGGCCTTGTCCTTCCCAGACTCTCCACAGAAGCACTGATGCTTGAGAAGTAGGGACGAGGCTGTGGTCTTTGTTAAATCACATGTTTATTCACTTCAAATCTGGGGAGTTTGCTTCCTTTTGAAAAACAAACATCCGTAGCCCTTGAAATTTTAAATACAAAGCCAGGCAGCACTTGAGGCAGAGACAGGCAGATCTCTTGAGGCCAGCCTGGTCTACAGAGTGAATTCCAGGACAGCCAAGACTACACAGAGAAGCCAACCCTACCTTGAAAAACCAGAAAAACAAAACACCCCAAAACCATATCTCAAGCTTGATCAAGTAAAACTCACTGTAGTTGTATCTTGAAGAGCTTTAATCAAAAAGTATTGCACCCACGAATGACTCGGCTACAGCAGTTCTTCGATAATAGCATCCATCACTATTTACATGGATAGTAAGGTCACAGTCCAGTGCTCACACAGAAAGGGCTACACATACTGTCTCGTCACCAAAGTTTATAGAAGGAAAGTGCACCAAGCCATTTGGAATAGCTACTGCACTCTTCTAGTGCTGGAGGAGCTCAACATGCAGTAGGAAAACCATTTAGATGAGTGGACCCACAACACACCTCAACCTGCAGGCAGAGGGGTGTGTGTGTGTAAGAGAGAGAGATAGACCAGCTCAAGGGGCCGAGGGCTGAGAAGCCTCAGACCTAGGGCTTCTGAAGCTGGGATTGCTGGGAAAGGAGGAAATTGTACTTGGTGGAGAAGCTACACCTTCCTCAGTAAAAGTCATAGAACAGTGGAACTCTGGTTTTATGTCCCCACTAAATGGGAAGGAGCACCCTAAAGGGAAACTAAGAGCCAATGCCATCCTGATTTAGAAGGCAAATGCTGCAAACACTTGGTTTTCTATACAGCACATTATATGTATATACATACATATGTTGACCTTAAGCTGAAAAATTTACCTAAATGGTAACTTTAGAAGCTCCAGTTATTAGTTTGTTAATGAAGCTTTCATCAAACTCAAATTGTTTCCCTTGAGATCTAATGTGTATCCAGAACAAGCGTGGAAATGAATACAAGTTTCTTGCGTCAGCTAAAGCTGAGGTGTGTGCCCTTAGGTGCGGCAGCCGGCTGGGCTGCTGGAAGCCGCCTATAATGTAGTGTTAAATACTGGGGTAGGGGAGTGAAGTAGAAAAACTGATTGGCTTTTGTTTGGTGGTAATAAGACAGAATTCAGAGCAAAGCCAGAGAAACTCCACTGCTCCAGAGAGGCAGGTGCCACAGAGGTAAGCTAAATGACAAAAGGGCACGCATCCTGGCACAAGAAAGACCTGGCGCTCTGGGTCTCCTCCTCCATGGATTTTATAATACAGAAGTCATGTTTATAATAGTGAACTTTTGCTATAAAAAATAGCTTAAAATGGTTTACCAGCAACCCATCGAGACAAGTACATTCATTAAGAAGGCAATTGAGTGTATTTGGTGCTATATGTAGAGATCTCCCTTCGTCTGCTTGCTAGTTTTCTCAGGACTGGAAAGTTGCGTACTCATCAGTTCACACTGGCCCCGTTATGAGATGGACACATCTCCAATTCTAGGTGGCCGGGGAACAAAGTGAAACGACACTTTCTTGCTAGTGGAAGGGGACTTCAAAGACCACTCTTGAGTTGGCTTTTCTCTGAGCTGGCCCCACCTTCAGTCCTGCCACCACCGTCTGATAATCAGTTGTTACCTGACTTCAGTTTTAAGAGAGAGGACTCAACTGCAGCGGGCCAGAGCTGGGATATTAGCAGCACTGTGAAGATCTGGGCAGAGCCCAGGATCGCTCTTGTTTGGTGACCAGAATGACAGGGCTGGTTTCCTTCTGAAGTTCATACTAGCTTGCAGAGAGGTGGGCCTAAGGTCTTGTAAACAGTGTCTAGACACTTGTACAAAATACTGCAGTTACAGCAATGAAAAACCCACCCAGTCTGGTGTGTCAGTGTTCTTTTCACAGAAATTGTCAGCCCATGTAGCTCTATCCTTGGGTGTCTAGGACCATGGTATCCGTGGGTTGGAGATAGACGGCCGGATGCTGCCCTTGGGAGCTGGTTTGGATCCAAACCAAGACATCTGCAATTGAAACAGAAAAGGCTTCTGAGCTGAGAAACACCTGGGAGCAGAAAACAGCCCTCGTCTTCTAGTCTTCCCAGCCAGTCAGAGGAACCAAGAAGTTTCAAATAAACTGGTCTGCAGGGCCAGGCGCCCAGATCAGGGACAGAGATGGTAGAAAGGAACTGCACTGATGAGGAAGAGGTTTCTCCCATTCTATTACAGCATTTATGCAGATGCCTTAGCATTCTCGTGAGGTTGGCTGTGCTGGTGACTGAACCTGAGACCTTGCACATAACAGGGCAAGCACTTCACCACTGAGCAAAAAAAAAAAAAAAAAAAAAAAAATGAAGGAAACAAAAGGAAACACTGTTAAATGTAGGTGCCAGGCAGGAACTGGAGCAGGAGAGGAAGTGCCATCAATGAAAATGCAGTGATGAACCAAGTCTGGCGTCCGGCAGTAACAAAGAACACTGGGCTAAAGAATGTTCTTTGGGGGCTGGAGAGATGGCTCAGTGGTTAACAATTCCCGGCAACCACATGGTAGCTCACAACCATCTATAAGGAGATCTGATGCCCTCTTCTGGTGTGCTGGTGCACATGCAGAGCACTCATATAAAATATAAATAAAGGAATGTTTTTTGAACTGTCTTTTGGAGCCTGTCCTGGAATTAGCTCTTGTAGACCAGGCTGGTCTCGAACTCACAGAGATCCGCCTGCCTCCGCCTCCCGAGTGCTGGGATTACAGGCGTGCGCCACCACCGCCCAGCTTGGTCAATTTCATATTACAAGAGCAAATAAGATGCCGGACAATGGTGGCCCAAGCTTTTAATCTAACACTCAGGAGGCTGAGCCAGGCAGATCTCTGTGTGTTCAAGGCCAGAGCAGGTTCCAGAACAGCCAGAGCTACATAGAGAAACACTGTCTCGAAAACCCAAAACAACAACAACAACAAACTCAAAAAAACCAAACAAAACAAAAAAACAAGCCAGTAAGCTGAGGTATAGTTGTGGCTGGCTGGTCGCCTGCCTCAGGTCTGGATGCGGCAATACTGTGCAGCAGTGGGAAGAGCAGAGAGGGACGCTCACCTTGTACTCCAGAGTCTCCTTGAGCATGTTCTCTTCCTCTTGTGAGAAGTTCAACAGCACTGACACTGCCTTTATAAGATGGAAGGCCTGAAAAACAAAACCCACTTTTGCTGGCACAGGTTTTGGGGCGGGCATGCAGGTAGTTAAGGGGCTAACTGGCAGCGTTTCCTGTTTGCCTGGGTTCTCAAGGGTGAGGAGGTGGGTGTAGCTGCAGCCTTTTGAGTCCCGTCTCACTTTGGGGATTGAGAGCTGAGGACATTCTCAACAGCTACCCTGCTTTTCATGCTGTATAGACATTTTCTAGGTCTTTAGCTTCAGCAGCATTCAAGCCAGAATTCAGAGGGACCCATATCTCCCCAGGAGCCACTTCCCATAGCGGTCTGCTCAGCAGGTCAGCAATGAGGGATGAGGGGAAGAAGGCAGAAGGAGGCTGATGGAAGCCATGCAAGCCCAACACCCAAAAAAGCAGCTGGAAGTCTTTACCTCGGATTCTCGACAGGACATGAATTTTAAAACAACATGTTTAAGGTATTCAAAATTGATCTCTCGGGCGTCAGTCAGGTCAGCATTATTGGTGACAGCATTATTGGCCATATTTGGTATCTCAGGGCCTGTTCTCTCCCGGACCTCAAAAAGCTCACTGTCAGGCCTGATTTTCTGAAAAGCAATGGAAAACGTGCCATGTCAATCGATTCTCCAGACTCAGCTGTGAGCAGCTCAACTAAGCTCACATCACTGGGCGAAAGGGCAGCTGACTAGAAGGTGGTGTCTGAACATGAGGGAACTAGGTCATGTTTGTCTGTTCATGTGAGAATGCAGGCAGAAAAAGAGGAGGCAGATTCAGACCTCCTGCCCAAGGTTGTGTGGTCACAAGAACACTTCTTCCCACCAGTCCACACCTGACTTCTCAGAGAACCTTCTGCAATCAACTAAGAGAAGCCCAGGCAGCCAAGGACCGCAGGAGGACCAGAGAATCTGGGGGGCATGGGAGTGGGGAGACGTGGGGCTGAGTGCAGGGAGGGCACAAGCAGGCACTCACCAGCTCCTTCTGCAGAGTCTTCTTAAGTTCCAGCATCCTCTGCTGCATCTGCTTCATAATCTGAGGTGACCCCACCCCAAAGCCAGCTGTCAGTGCTATGTCAGGAGGCCCCGAGAGGCCTTGCTGCAGGCTCACTCTCAGGGGCCCCTGGGTTTCTTTGCTGCTGCTCCACCCTTTTCCTTCCTAGGACCCAGGGGGACCACAGTATCATCGCATCCTTTCAATAGAAGCGTCTCCCAAGCTGGTGTGCTTGGTCCTCAGGCCTGCTGGCAGTGCCCACACATGTGGAGAGTGCGGCTGTGCATGGTTCTGTACGACATCTTCCAGTTTTTAAAACTATGGGGCTTTTGTTTTCAGTTCTGTCCGATTGCCTGGGACTGGAACTGCCATGTTATGCTGAGAACCGAACCCAGGTTCTCTGTATGAGCGGTGCTCTTAACCACTGAGCCACCTAAGCCTCAGATTCCTTTTTTTTTGGTTTGGATCAGTGGATTTATTATTATAAGGCTTAAATGTAGTTTACTACACATTCTATCATTCATTAGAAAGGCTGCACTCCATTTTCCTAATTTAAAACTTTATAACAAGGGATTTTATTTTCCTTAGTGACAGGGATCAAGTGCAAGGAAAAGATTGGTTTTTTTTTGTTTTTTTTTTGTATTTTTGAGACAGAGTTTCTCTGTAGCTTTTGGTTCCTGTCCTGGAACTAGCTCTTGTAGACCAGGCTGGATCTCACAAAGATCCGCCTGCCTCTGCCTCCCAAGTGCTGGGATTAAAGGCGTGCGCCACCACTGCCCAGCTGGTTTTTTTTTTTTTTGAGACTAGGTTTCTATCCTAGTACTATCCTTGAGTACTGTAGACCAGGCTAGCTTCAAACTCACAGGAATCTGCCTGTCTCCCAAGTGCTGGGATTAAAGGCGTATACCAGCACTGCCCAGGTACTTGGGAGGCAAAGGCAGGCAAATTTCTGTGAGTTTGAGGCTAGCCTGGTTTACAGGGCGAGCTGCAGGACAGCCAGGGTAACAGAGATAAACCCTGTCTCAAAACAAACAAACAAACAACAACAACAAACCAAAATCAAAAAAAAGGGAAACGTTTTAAACATTTTTTTTTTTCAAGACAGTTTTTCTGTGTAGCTTTGCAGCCAGTCCTGGAAATTGTTCTGTAGACCTGACTGGCCTTGAATTCACAGAGATCCACCTGCCTCTGCCCCAGAGTATTAAAGGTATGTGCTACCACAGCCTGACAGTTTTAAAAACTAAACAAAACAAAACAACAACAACAAAAAAAAGGCTTTGCGTAGGTACACTGGGCGGTTCTGTGAGTTTTAATACAGCCAGAATTGTTATGCAGAGAAACACTAACCCTATCTTGAAAAAAACAAAACAAAAACAAATGAGCTCTGTGGTAAGACCAGTCTCTAAAGAAAGTTTCCTGTGGTCCAGGCTGCCCTTCTGCATCTTTCTCCAGAGTGCAGGGTTACAGGTGTGTATCACTGCACTCAACAGGACCTCACTGCAAACACAGTAGGACAGGGGTGACAGCAGTGAGGACCCACAGCTGGCCAGGTGCAGGGTGTCCTCACCTTATTCTTCTCCGTAAGTTGCTGCTCTAAGTCCTGCTTTTCTTTCTGTAGCTGCTCTATACTCATGGCTTCAACCTCACCATTTGGAGTTCCCTCTGCTGCCTGAAGCTCATACTCAGGATTCTGCATGGCTTTTGCGATGACCTACAAGATAGTGGCAACAGGACAAAAGGCAGAAGCTGAGATGCAGACTTGCGGGGAGGAAGTGCCAGCTCACTGCACAGGTGTTAGTGGGAAGTAAGGTCAGACATAAGATTCTCTCCAGTGGCTGCCAGGCGAACTAGTTGCCTTTGGTGATCAAGGGGCACACTAACAGGTGTTGCACACAGATGCCCCTACAGGTCTCAATCCTCCTAGGAAGCGGAGCACCTTTACCACAAAGGCAGGACGTTAGAAGTGCAGAGCAGGCACTCCACCCTACCCCAGCACTGGACAGGACAGCACTCACAAGTGACTCCAGGGGGTCCTGTCCTGTTGTAGCTGGCACTGCCTCCTGGGCTCTGCAGCTCCTCAAGGCCTCCAGTTCATTCTGTAGTTGGTGCATCTGCAGCAGGGCAGAACTGTGACCTAGGGTGGCAGGAGCACAGTGTGAGCCAGTGACTGCTGGCTCACTAGCGACCCCTCGCTGGTCAGGGGTCGACCCCTCACCTTTCTCCAGCTGGTCAAGTTCCTGCTCCTTCTGGAGAAGCACCTCGTCCTTTTCACACAGGCTCCGATTTTTCTCTTCTATGATGGCTGACAACTGGGCAGCCTTAGCAGGAAACTCAGCATGAGAAGGGCTGAAAAAATCCCCTCTCCTACAGGGATTCCATTTTCCAGCTTGTGGGTAAGGGGAAGCCCTCCTTGGAATCCGTAGCCTAGAACAAACCTATGGCAATTGGATCCATTCTGCTGAATGGCCCTGTACAGGGCGCTTCTCTTCACTGCCCCTATAGCCTATGCTGGGCCAACCCAGAGTATGGGAAGTTTTGGTCAGCCTCTCAATACATCTTTTCCTGAGAACCCATGCTGCACCAGTCTGTTGGATCACCTCATTCTGGTGTCAGAAGGTATGATTACCCAAAGTTCTTTTCAGAGGTGACTAGGGCTCAGACTGCTTAAGAACTCATTGGAGGCCTCTAGCCAGCAGACCAGAGCCAGGTGCTCTGTCTGTTCCCATGTATGGTTTCCCTATACTTCTGGCTAGGAACTCAACTTTGTGGGTAGTGGGTGATAATGTACCACTTCCCAGAATCAGATTGTTTGATCCCTACCTTTTCTTCAATCAATGTTTTATAACTAACTAGCCACTAGCCATGACAAGTTAGTAAGGGGCATCACCTGAAGTAAGGTTTCTCCTAGTACCTACAGGTCATATGTATGGCATCTCCCAACTGACTGTGTTCCCTGAGACCCTTGACATGTCTTCCTAAGACTGCAGGGGAACATGGTTTTGGCCCACACCTTAGGAGCCAGCTAGGAGCCTACCTGCTGCTGGAACTCTTCCCTCTGTTTCCGCACCTCCTCCAGGGCTTGAGCCATAGCCACACTCACAATTTCTCTTTGGCTCCATTCATCCTAGAATTCAGAAAACAGGTAAGCGACTGAGTCCCAAAACAGCCTACATTTTTTTTTTTTTGTTTTTTTCGAGACAGGGTTTCTCTGTGGCTTTGGAGCCTGTCCTGGAACTAGCTCTTGTAGACCAGGCTGGCCTTGAACTCCCAGAGATCCCCCTGCCTCTGCCTCCCGAGTGCTGGGATTACAGGCGTGCGCCACCACCGCCCAGCTACGTTTTCTTATGTATGTCCTTCACCCAAGGCCAACATTCTCCCTGCTTCCCTGCCTGCTTCCCTCTGGTGACTGGCAAATACGCACAGCCAGGAGGGCCAGCAGTACTGGGAGCTCACCATCAGTAACCACAACTGGCTGATGAAATCCACACAAAACAAGACAGGTCACAGGAAATGTAATGAAGTAGCCAGTGAGGTTTACAAGATCCCACTTTCACTGAGTCAGCCATAAAAGCCCTTATAAAACACTTATTTTTATCGCTTCCATGTGTACAAGTGTGAGTGTGTATCATGTGCGTATGGGTACCTGCAGAGCCAGAAGAGGACCATGGATACCCTGCAGCGACAGATCAAGCAGTTATGAACTGGCTGACCTGAGTGGTAGGAATTGAACTCAGATCCTCTGGAAACACAGGACATTCTCTTAAATGCTAAGCTACTTATCTAGTTCTGATAACCCTACGAAACTTTTAAAGTTACACTTATTATTATTTTTTTTTTGGATTTTTCGAGACAGGGTTTCTTCGTAGCTTTTGGTTCCTGTCCTGGAACTAGGTCTTGTAGACCAGGCTGGCCTTGAAGTCCCAGAGATCCGCCTGCCTCTGCCTCCCGAGTGCTGGGATTAAAGGCGTGCGCCACCACTGCCCGGCTTAAAGTTACACTTATTATTAATATGTGCCTCTGGAGGTCAGAAGGCTTGGTAGCAAGGCCTTTATCAGCTTAGCCACATCACCAGACCATGGGCCCATTTTCTAAGAGTGAAAACAGGTTCCAAGAGGTTTGGTGGTTTGCCTCAGGTGCTAGAACAAGCTGGTAGCAGGACCAGATTGAGAGCCAGAGGCAGCTGAACCCAAGTCCAGGGACTGGATGCCAGCCTCTTCTACCTGAAACATCTTCACTGTAAGCAGAAACCTCAGTTCCCTAGCTGACTGGCAGGGCTTCTGCAGCACTGACCACTGGTCACCACTGTTCTCTGCTGACAGTGTGTTCATGCTTGCCAAGAGTCACAGTGTAAAATACAACCTCTCAGGTTTTGACCATGGTCAGGAATACGCTGGGGAGAACACGAAGCAATGCCTGCTGTTTCTGACTACCCAGAACTCCCTGCTTTTTTTGTGCAAGCACATTATTTCTGTTCCCCATTCCCACCTTGGAGCTCTACATGGCAAGGACTGGACTGTTAATAATGATGCCCTAATTTGAGGCATATGATTCAAGCCTGACCTATAACGACACTTCTTCCCCTTGACCAAATTCAGCTAGCAGGTGGCTTTGTCACTGAGATGGACAACCATAGTCTATAGTGCATAATGACTCTTCTTTATACTTCGATGCTTGAAAAGTTCCAAGATCAGAACTGATGTCTGTCTGTCTCTCAGTACAGGAAGCTGTCTACTGCAGATAGAAAGCAGACCATCAGTTTCTCTGGGTTTGTGGGATCCTGACTCTTCCTACCAATTTTACCTGAGTCAGCTGCAGAGCCATGCATGGCATGTTGACCCTTACTCAAGCCATCACAATTATCTTCACAGTGAGTCTAGCTCTAGCAGACAAGGACAACTAGTACCTGAACTTGAGAGGCTAAAGGTGAGACCCTAAAATACACTGTACAAGACTTCTTGCCAGGGTCCTCTGACCATCTACTACTATCAAATGCAGGTTTAGGATGGGGCTCTATTGGTATAGGGGAAGGAGCTTGAGATTCTGACTTGGTAAGAATGCTTCGCCTGGCAGGTGGATTTCAGGGAGGTCAAGGCCGGCTTGTCTACACAGCGAGTTCCAGGACAGCCAGGACTGTCACACAGAGAAACCCTGTCTTGGACAACCAAAAAGAATTCTATGCCTACTCAGGAATACTTTTTTGGGAAATTTTGGAGAGATGCTTGTGACTGCTGCTGTCTAGAAAGGCAGATGGCCTCCATATATTTGAGAAGACAGGAAGGCAGGCCGGGTCATGAAGGAAACCCACGCTGGGAAACTGTCCCTTGTCACTCTTCATCTGCGGCCATGTCTGATCCTCTAAATAGTCTTCTTGGGGTCAGAGATTACCACTTCCATTTTAAAATGAGAACTGGGCCAGGTGTGGTAGCACAGACCTGCAATCCTAGTGCCTGGGAGGCTGAGACAGAACAAGTTCCAGGCCAGCCTGAGCTACATGGAGATACTCTATCTCCAAAAGGCAAACAAACAAACAAGGCTGGGGGTTGCTTTATAGTAAAGCATTAACCTAGCACAAGGCAGACTCTAGGTTTCAGGCCCAGGACAAGACAACTAAACAACCAAATACCAACTAAATTCCAACTGCAGCAATACTATCCACACAGACACACATGGACATACACAGACATGCACAAGCTCACACACTTGCATTCACGCATGCATGCACAACAAATTTATGATAACGAAGGATTGCACTGACATACATGGCCAGATGCCTCAGAACTATTGAATTCCAAGCTGACCCTCCAGCCTGTCTAGAGCGTGGTTCCTGTCTCCCAGGAGCTGCTGGCTTCCCACATGTGGCAGCTGCACACCTTGGGTTGAATCTGGTTTCTGGGGAGGGGAAGATGTTCAGGGAACAGCTAGTTTAAAAAAATAAAAATAAGTTGGGTGTGGTGATGAACACCTTTAATCATAGCACTTGGGAGGCAGAAGCAGCAGATCTCTGCGAGTTCCAGAACAGATGCAAATGTAGAGTGAGCCTGTCTTTAAAACAATACAATAACATATGTGTATCCCAAATTATAGTCCTTTAAAAACATATGAAGACTTGAGAGATGGCTCAGCAGTTGAAGTTCCAGTCCTCACGAGGTAGCTCACAGTATCTGTGATTTCAGTTTTAGGGAATATGACAATCTCACTCAGATAAACAGGCAAGCAGGCAAAATACCAACACACATGAAATAAAAATTAAATAAGAGGAACAAGGGGACCAGATACCAATGAAAACAGGTGGCCCAGGTGATCCAGCATCTCAGAGTTCCTCTGTTGCAGTTTCCTCAGAGTTCTGCATCCAGAACAGCATCAAGGCTGCTGGCTGAGATGGTCCAGGCTCACAGACATACTCTGAGAGCCAGGACTTCAGATAAGTCTTGCATTTTCCCACTGCACAGAGACTAGACAACAACACTGCAAACTCTCTCAGGACTTGACCATTATCCCAATTTTCCCAGGGTCTCTTAAAGACGCCAGTGCACTCAAGCAACAGAAAGCAGTCTAGAGAACATTCCCAAGAGGTGGGTGGGTGGCTTTTGGTTATCTGATGGGTTACAGTTACAAGTTGTTATTGGTCATGGTCAGTAAAAAGGCTAAACAAAGGAGTTAGATTCAAAGATCTCTTTCTGAAGGAAAAGGGATACAGTATAAAAATGATGAGAAAAAAAAGGGTGTATTGTTGAGTCTTTTTTTTTTTTTTTTTTTAGTTTTTCGAGACAGGGTTTCTCTGTAGCTTTGGAGCCTGTCCTGGCACTAGCTCTTGTAGACCAGGCTGGCCTTGAACTCCCAGAGATCTGCCTGCCTCTGCCTCCAGAGTGCTGGGATTAAAGGCGTGTTTAAAAGACATTTATTTATATGTTTATTTATTATGTGCACAATGTTAGAAGAAGGCATTGGATCTCATTACAGATGGTTGTGAGCCATAATGTGGTTGCTGGGAATTGAACTCAGGACTTCTGGAAGAGCAATCAATGCTCTTAACCTCTGAGCCATCTCTCCAGTCCTATGTTTCTGTTTTTTTTTTTTAAGGTCCTGTACCTATGCAGTTCATTTAAAAAGGTCATGTAAAGTTTTAGTTTTGGAAAGCTATTTAGAATAATAAAGGCTAATTAATAGTCATCTAAAACTATGAAACCTATAATCATGTTAGGTATGTTCTCAGGGTCACACAGAGATATATTTTAGATAGACAAGTGATCTTCAAACACTTCAAAGACCACAGATTGTGGCGTTTAAAATGTTTTCATAACATGACTGTTTTCTTGACAGTGAGACACATCTGCTCTTGATAGCACCACTCTACTTCGAAAAAGGATAATGGGAATCAAAGAATCTCCATATGGAGTTTGTTTTCTTTGTGGCAAAAGCTATCCATTTGGGAAGAAACTGCCCTTCCCCTAACCACTGACAGTATACTGTCCAAACTAGACAAGCAGGACACAAAAGAAGGCAACTTTGGCAAAGTTAATGCATAACAGAAAAGTCTGTCAGATATTCTAGGCCTGTAGGCTGAAGATGGATGCCCCAACATTGCAGAGGAACCTTGGGTGACTGTCCAGGCAGCCAGCTGTTTCTGTCATCTCTTTTCGTTTGAAAGCAGCTTACACTACGCTTCCTGTTTACTAAGGTAGTATTATATCTCTGGGGTCTTTGATAGAACTGAAGACTAGACAGCGATAGTTATAGTCTTCCTTGGCTATAATAGAAGGTAAACGAGGCACAGAGCTTTGGACTCATGAGATAGAATAAATAATGAAGCATTTATTTTCTCCAAATATGCCAAATACAAATGGACTGAACAGTATAAATGTAATTTTTTTTTTTTTGGTTTTTCGAGACAGGGTTTCTGTGTGGCTTTGGAGCCTGTCCTGGAACTAGCTCTGTAGACCAGGCTGGTCTCGAACTCACAGAGATCCGCCTGCCTCTGCCTCCCGAGTGCTGGGATTAAAGGCGTGTGCCACCACCGCCCGGCTGTAATTCTTTTTTTGTTTTGTTTTTGAAGATATTATTTTTCTGTGTAGCTTTGGAGCTAGCTTTTGTAGACCAGGCTGGCCTCGAACTCACAGAGATCCACCTGCCTTTGCCTCCTGAGTGCTGGGATTAAAGGCATGCACCACTACTGCCCCCTTCTTTGCTTTTCTTTTCTTTCTTTTTTTTTTTTTAAGACAGGGTTTCTTTGTATAACAGACCTGCTTGTCCTGGACTCACTTTGTAGACCAGGATGGCCTCAAACTTGTGGCAGAAATTAATACTGGCCTGGTGCCAGAGGGTTAGCAAGTAACCCTTTGGTGGCCATGAAACCCCGCTGGGTTATACCTGGCGTAGCTCTGGAGTTTTTACTCAGTCCCTAATCCATCCTTTGTGTTACAGATACCTTTTGTTGCCCTATGTGAATCTTGTCTGAGAGTTTCCCATGGATACAAAACGTATGCAAAACTTGGTTTAGAGAAAACCCTGGTACCTCATGAGTCAGGTGCTTGCACCTGGCATTGTGTCTTTGGAAACTTCATTTAGTTTGTTTTGAGATACAGGAATCCATCTGCTTCACCACATACCTGCTAATCAGCTGAGGATGTCACGTTAGAATACTCTCTCATTCAAATGACACCCTAGACAGCAGAGCTTCTGGTGCCTGCGTATTAATTTGCTACAGCTGCCTTAAGACACTACCTTGAACTTGTTAACAATGGTTGACCATGATACTAGGTCTGCAGGCCTTTGTGAATGCTGAGCAAACACTGCCAACTGAGCTGACTCCCTCACCTGATGTGGAATTTCCCTCTGTATGCTGTGATTACCATTGATTAATAAAGGAACTGTCTTGGGCCTGTGCAGGGAACAGAGGTAGGCATGGAAAACTAAACTGAATGCTAAGAAGAAGAAGGAGGAGTGAGAGAGAAGTCATGTCACTCTGCCAGAGTCAGACGGAACTTTACCCGGTAAGCCACAGTCACGTGGCAATACATTAATAGATCAATGGAGATGGGTTAAATTAAGATATAAGAGTTAGCAAATAAGAAGCTAGAGCTAATGGACCAGCAGTGTTTTAAATAATATAGTTTCTGTGTGATTATTTCTGGAGTCTGGGTGGCCAGGAAACAATAAGCAGTCTCCCCCAACACTCGCCCTCTGTATAGATATGAGCAGGCTGTGCTCCCTCAGGGAAAGTCCTTTTTCTGCATCTCCAAACTTCCAGAACTGCAACCCTCAGGCCCAGCCCCATTCCTCCATCTTCAACGGCAGCCGTGCAGCCACATCTATAGTTCTTTATTTGAATTTGCACATGCTAGCACATACCTGTAAGACTAGCACTTGGGAGAGGGCAGCAAGAGGATCATGAGTTCAAAAACAGCCTTGGCCAGGGACTTTTGAGGCAAGGCTTGGCTATGTGAGACTGTCTCAACCAAAATAAAAACACCTCGACGTGTTTTTGCTGTCACATCATGCCTTCTGTCTTGTAGGAATCGTGAGGATTCTTGACCATTTAGGGCTCATCCAAATTAACTAGGGAGAACTCTCCATCTAGTTCCAGATCCTCCATTTAATCTAACTGCCTGCCTCCTCTGTGCTGAAATTACAGGTGCCCAGTACTTTGCCTTTCCCCTTCCCCCGTTTCTGAGACAGTCTCACTATGTAGTGCTATCTGGCCTCAAATTCACTATGTACACCAAGGTTAGCCTCTAACTTAAAGAGATCCGCCTGCGCCTGCCTCCCAAAAGAGTGCACCACCACCATTTTTGGCCCAGAAGTATCCCCCCATCTCACCTCCTACCTTTCTTCCTTTATATGTTGCCTCCCCCCGCCCCATTTCTCTCTGTATTCCTGGCTGTCCTGGAATTCCTCTGTAGACCAGGCTGGCCTTAAACTTAAGTCTGCCTGCCTCTGCCTCTGCCTCCTAAGGGTTGGGATTAAAAGTGTGAGCTACCACTGCCCAGCTGCTATTCTGTTTTTTTAATTTATATCTACCCTAAACCTATGCTCTGACTTCCAGACTTGTCAGTTAAAAAATTACCAGATTTGTCCTAGACACCTGTGAATGATATCTCTATGTGCCCAGTTATCCCAGTGGCCAACCCTCTGGGTAGGGTGAAATTTTGGTCCCCAAAGACATTTCTGGTTGTCATCAGTGGGCTGACTACTGACATCTAGTGGTCAGAGACCATAATACTCCTAGAGTCCCAACAATGTACATCTGCTCCAAGGTGCCCACAAAGAAATCTTGGCTCAAATGCCAAAGTGCTGAAGCCATGGAACTGAGTTCCATAAACCAAATCAAGGAGTCACTCCAACACCTATTCCTCTCTTTTCCTCCTTGCACTCCGTGGCAAGTCCTAAATGTTCCATGGCTAGCATTTATCCAGAATCTGAATGTGTCTTCCATATACTTAATTAACACAGCTATCCTTTCCTGCCCGTGTTACTAAAAGTTACTACGTATAGTTAGAGAAATGCCTTCAAAAAAAAGCCTCTTCCATGCCTTTCTGCTCAATCCCTGTAATGGCTTTCATTATACTTCCTAGTTCTTGCTGCCTTCTGTACTGGCAGCCTGTTCTCCCTGCCACTCAGCTCTGCCACTGGCCTTCCTACTGTTCTCTGAACAGAATGGGCTTTCTTTTACCTCAGAGTCCTTCGAATGCCTAACTGCTTGCCTCACTATTCATAGTTTTGTTGAAATGTCTTAGAAGCCTTCCTTTCCTCTTCTGTCCTGCCCACGATTTTGGCTTCGTTCTCCTCACAGCATTGGCCTCTATCTGAAGCTAGTTCACTATTTCTAGTTATAAGTTCTGTGGAGGAGAGACTATCTGTCTTATTCCTGACACATCCCAGCACCTCTTATGATGCCTGGCAATTATGGGCACTCTGATACCTGCTGATGGAATAAAAACAAAAAACCAGAAAAACAAAACAACTCACTTCAATCCAGGCTTTATGGTACAGGCCTGTAATCACAGCTACCTGGGGAGCTGAATCAGGGGGACTGCAAGTTCAGGGCCCTTCTCTGGGCTACCAAGAAATTCAAAGTCAGCCTATGTCAACTTAGTAAGGCCTTGTCTCAAAGTAAAAATACAGAAAGTGATGGATTTATAATTTAGTATTACAGTGGCTATCTAGTATGCACAAGGCCTTGGGTTTGAGTCTTAGTTTAGGAAGCAAAAAGAAAATCTGGTTGAAAGACATTCTTTTCAAGACGCAGCACCACTACAATAGTGCCTAAGCAACTCCCTGGGCAGGCCCCAAGCCATAGGTGTGGATAGAGAGAAGGTCTGCAAAGGCCTGACACCAGCTCCAAACTGGAAGAATATTGCCATGACTCACCTCCCATAGGTATTATGAAGGCCCAGGGAGCCTAGGGGACCAATGAATGTGGGCATGTGGCTTTGTCTAGTGAACAACAGGAGTAAGGTCTGATTAAAGCACCAACTTCACAGATGGGAAAAGATATTGTTCACTTCTGTCCGAGGTCCCTAACATACACAAACATCTTCCGTAAGGACTTCCGTATGTGTCCTTCTGAAAACACAAGTCAGGAGTGCTTGGACAGCACAGCTTCCAGCCGGCTGCTGACAAGACACAGAGGCAGAACTGGGCTTTGGGATGGAGTGAACAGCTAGAAGAGACTAACTCAACCTCTAACTTAAGGTACATGGACTGACTGCCCTCAGAGCCTCAGCAGCAGTCACTGCAAAAGCAGCGCAGCCTTCCTCCTCCTCGGCCACTGTGGAGACTTCAGCGGACAGCTGCCATTTCCTCTGCACTGTCCACTACAAACATGTGACAGACAGAACTTCTGTAGAACTGATTCTATTCGATAAATACCTTTAGTTTCTTTAGTTCAGACTGGTGGTGCCGTAAAGAACGTTCACATTCATTTCTGCTTTCTTTAAGGGCCACATTCTCCTGCTGCAGCTGTTGCTGGAAATTGAGCAGAGCACACATAAGAAAAGGTCTTACCTGCCGTGTTTCCTCCTAGGCATAGCCCTTCTGAAATGGACTTTCTAGGCTGAGGGGATAGCTCAGCTGATGAAGTGATCAGGGAGGTATAAAGATCCGAGTTCAGATTCCATGCACCCATGTGGGAACCATGCCTGCAATTGCACTGCTGGGCAGAGACTGCTGGATCTTTGGGGTTCACAGCTGGGTAGTGAGGGGGAAGAGGAGCAGAAGAGGTTGCTCAGTGGTTAAGAAAGCTTGTTTTAGCTGGGCAGTGGTGATACACACCTTTAATCCCAGTACTAGGGAAGTGGAGAGAGGAATATAAGGCAGGAGGATACAGGAGCTCAGGATTCAGTCTGAGGTTTCATAGAGATGGCATTCAGTCTGAGGACTTGCAGAGACAGGATACACCATTCAGTCTGAGGACTTCATAGAGGTAAGAACTAGTGGCTGGCTGCTCTGCTTCTCTGATCTTTCAGTTTTTAACCCCCTAATAAAAACTCTGGGTTTTTATTATTTAAGATCAAATAGAATTCGTACTACACCAGCTAGTCTAGCAAAATCAGTGGAGAACCACGGAGGAAGGCAGCTGATATACAACTCTGGCCTTCCTTTCTTTTGGTCACTGTAAATGTGAAAATAAGCGACAGGTGGAGACGAGGAAGGAAAACACTGGACCTCTCCAGGGGCAGGAGTGGTTCAGTGGTAGAGCACACGTCCAGCATTCGAGATCCTCTCAAGAAAGACTGGGACACATAGAGGATCATAGAAAGGAGAAGCCATTAGGGAAGATTATGGAGTTCAGAAAAACTGGGAAAAACTGAGGGGACCATCAGAATACATGAAGATGTCCCGGTGGAAAAACCATAGGCTCTGCATCTCTGTAGAAAGCAGTCCTTTCATTTCCAGCCTCCTAAGCAGGTAAGTCCTTCTAGGAAAGGAGTGAACTGCTCTCTCCAGTGGTTCTCCAGCCTACAGAGGCACTATTCTTCTCAAATGCAGTGACCCAGTGCTCCTGCATGGACTCACCATTCCCTGCTCTGAAGCTATCTGATCGGCTGCCCGTGTTTGTTCTAGAGCTTCAATCTGGGCCTCTAGTGCATGGGTGCACTCCCTGCAATGCTGCTCCAGGGCAAGAACCTGTTGTTGGGAGAGGCTGTTCTCTTGGTGTTTAGTGATCTGCAGGAAAACCAGAGGACAGTTAGCCTAGACAAAAATTTCAGAGGGCCTTATTCTGACTGTCTAACAGAAACTACCCTCTTTGACCTCTGCTACCCTGGTGTGGCTTCAATAACTGCATGTTGTACATATTGCTTCTGGGTCTGGCCTTCCCTGGAAACTGAAGCCTGCCATTTGCCTTGATGCCACTGGCACACCCTTCACGGTGTATCCTAAGAAATAGGCCTCTACTCACTGGACTTCTATGGCTGACATGTTCTTCTGGGAGGCAGGAGAATGAAGTAGTGAAGAATAGTATATACATGAGATGGATGTGAGTCTTGTCACTTCTGAGCTCATCTCTTCTACAGACTATGTATGACATTCAGTGAGTTTACTAGGTGTGCTGCAAAGACTAAGTAAAAAGGATTCTGAACAGTGCTAGGGTTGTCATAAACAAGAAATCAATGGTGGCTGCTTTTATTTCCCTATGTCTAATTTATTAGCTCACTCAGGGTCTGATGACTGTCCAAATACTTCAACCTATTTTTTTTTTTTAAAAGAAGGTTTGACTGGCTGGAATTCACTGTGTAGACCAGGCTGGCTTTGAACTCAAAGAGATTAGCCCTCTTCAACTGGGATTAACGAAGGAATGTGTCACCACACCCAGATCATTCTTCGGTTTTGACCTGTTTTCATTTGCCACAGCTCAGCCTGAAAACTAGGCTTTGAACTCTCAAGGACCCACAAGACGGGATCTTTAACAAAAGCGATGTTGGGTGGAAACTACCAGTTAGTCCCTTGGCTCTGGGTAACACTGACCCTCCAGATAACCCTCCCACCTCTTGCTTTACTCAAGCCAAATCCAGATACTATTGCAGACTTGGGCGTACATCTGGTGTTGAGGGAAAGCACTGGAGTCTGGCACGTGGTGAACACTTACAAGTTTCTGAATCTGGGCTTCCTGGGCAGTCACAACATCCCTGCTCTGGTTCAGCTGCTCCTCTGCAGCCTGTAGGCTTTGCTCTAGATCCTTCACCTGAGGGAAAACACATTCTTTCTACTCACAAGAAATTGGGAGGGTTTAATGTATGGTTTAAAATTAAGCCAGAAACAAAGATGTAGTGGCACACACCTGTAATCAGAGGATTCATGGTGGAGACAGGAGATCAGAAGGTCAAAGCTATTCTTCACCACATAATGAGTTTGACGCTAGCCTAGGCTACAGGAGACTATGTGTGTGTGTGTGTGTGTGTGTGTATGTGTGTGTGTGTGAGAGAGAGAGAGAGAGAGAGAGAGAGAGACAGAGAAAGAGAGAGAGCACATGCAAGCCAGCGTTAGGTGTCATAAATAAAGAAGGCACAGGTCTTTAATCCCAGCAGAAGCAGGCACAGTTTGAGGCCAACATGGAAGTTCTAGGTCTGCCAGGGCTACATAGTGAGACCCTGTCACAAAACAAACAAGAAGGGCTGGAGAGATGGCACAGCTGATCTACCAGAAATCAAGGGTTCAGTTCCCAGCACACAAATGGAACTCACAGACACCCGTAACTCCAGTTTTAGAGACTATGATGACCTCTTCTGTCTTCTAAAGGCACCAGGCCTGCATATGGTGCACAGACATACATGTAGGCAAAACACTCATACACATAAAATAATAATTAACGAACAAAAACTCATCCCACCCCATCCACAAAACATTAAAAAAAAAAACCCAGCAAAACAAAATAAAAACAGAACAGGTAAGGCATGGAAGGGCATGGAAGAAACATGATACTTGGAAGGCTGAGGCAGAAGGATTGTAGCAACTTCCAGGCCAGCCTGGCTACATAGGGAGAACCTTTCTAAAAATAAACAAAATGAAAACAAAATAAAATTCAAACAAGGAAAAGAAGTCAAACTCAGGGATATACACAGATGTTGTTCAGTGGTAGAGTGAGTTCCCTGAATGAACAAGCTTCAATTCCATAACAACATAAAATCCTACATTACAGAAATGAGCAAGAGCCCCAAGTCTTCTATTATAAAGCAATACCACTTTAATGTCTTTTCTTCAGGTCTTTATGAATTTTTAATAGTTTGCATATAGTTTAAATACACCCACCATGCTTTACCTCCCACTAATAACATGCATGCAGACTGGAGATTATTTTTTTCTCAAAGAGTGCTTCCTGTTTTACTGACCGTACATCTATAGGATTACCGGCTGGTACTTGGGTTGTTATACATTTTTATTTATTCTAGGTTTTAGAATTTTTGCTTATTTTATATGAAACATATTAGATGGTGTATGCATGCACACACCACAGCATGCTGTAGAGGCTGAAGAAGAGCTCTGTGTGGAGTTGACTGTCTCCTCCCTCTCTATGTGTGCTCCAGGGATCAATCCAGGTTGTCAGGTTGATGTGGCAGGTGCCTTTATCTGCAGAGCCCTCTCTAATGCTCTCTTTGACATATTCTTCAATCTAAAATAAAGCAGTCATTAATATTTTCACACAAAACTGACGTGGTTTCAGTAACTTCCTTGGGAGTGACTGCCGGCAGTGGGATTGCTGACCACAACATGAATTTCGACCTCATGCAGTCCACGAATTCTGAGATACATATTGCCAACCATTCTACTAAAGAAATACACTGGCAAAGGCAGAGACAATCCAACATGTACAGAAAAACTCAGTCTGTACTAAAGCTACATCAGAGACAGTGAGGAAAGGCAGACTATTTAGCAAATAATGTAAGAAAGGTGGAGAAAAGGAAAGCTGGATTCTTACTGAATGCCACACAACAATGTGCATATGAACAAGAGCTCTAGTATGTGGACAAAACTATGTAATTAAAATATAGAATATCTCTGTGACTTAGACACATGCATGGATGTATTTTCCCCCTGAAACAGCGTTTCTCTGTGTGGACCTGTCTGTCTTAGAACTAGCTCTGTAGACCAGGCTGGCCTCAAACTCACAGAGATCCGCCTGCCTCTGCCTCCTGAGAGATGGGATTAAAGGTGTGCACCACCATCATCCAACCATGAATGGATTTTTTTAAATAGAGCTTCAGATCACATAGAAGTGATGACTCTGATAATTTCAGAATTTCTGTTCATCAAGGGATAGATACAAAGACTGGTTCAGTACTGAAACTGACAAGATTAGAAACTAGACTATAAAACAAAATCCTATAACCTAATTAAGAAAAGACTGAAACACCAAAGAAAAACAGGTACAGTATATGTATAGACTATTCTAAGGGAAAACTCCAGAGGCAATAGGAAGATGAAGCAATAGGCGAGAACTCACTAAGCACAGCAGCCTCAACTCCACCAAATATAGTTCTTGGAATACAGATGACCTGACCAAGAACTTCTTAGCCAAAACGCCTTCCAACCAGGTTACACACATTACAGCAAATACTGGAGAGAGGTCATACCCGAGTCTCCAAGAGGTCAATGGCCTTGGTGTAGCTGCTCCTGGCAGCCAGGAGTTGCTGCCTAGTGTCTTCTAGATTCTGTTCTGCAACTGTTCTCTGTAAGAGAAAAGAATTGTTGCCATATTTAATATTTATTGATGTTGTACCATTTGTGCTGGGCACAGGAGACATGAATAGATGGAGTCAACGCAAAGTGAGATATAATTCACATATCACAGAGGACACACAAATAAGTTTGGCACAGTCCTTTGTTTGCAAGTCTGGGACAAATGCCTAACAACAAAAGCATACACTAGAAGCCGGCTACGGTGGTGCACGCATAAAATCTCAGCACTCAGGAGGCAGAAGCAGGCAGATCTCTGAGTTTGATGCCAGCCAGGGTCACACAGTGAGACTCTGCCTCAAAAAAAAAAAAAAAAAAAAGAGCTTGATGTATTTAGAGAAATACAGCTCCTCAAAAGTCACAGTGATGGCGAGCTCAGATCAACAGAACAACTGTGGTGTTGGGCAATGGGTAGGGTGATGAGGAACTCTTCTGAGTTGCCAAAGTTTTATTTTATTTTGCAGGCAGAAATTTTCAAGCAGATTTTTTTAAAACCTGGCATTAGCTTTACTAGGGAGGCTGGCTAAATGTGAGGCCTTACTCTAGATAGTCTGGGAAAAGGACTGGAGATATATACTTTAAACAAACTCCCAAGTAATTGCTATTCACTCTTTAATAATAATTGACTATGGAACAACAACAATAACAATACCTACTATGCTCCAATTTTTACTCTGATTTCATCAAGTCTGACACAATATAAATTCAATTTTATAGAGAAGACAACACAAAGAGATTAACTGACTTGATTTAAGTCACAGTGATAACATAGAAACACAGATGCTGGCCTCTAGAAACCAACTTATATATTAGAATCCACAGTTTGGAAAGATTGGTTTCATAGGAGTGAGGAAGGCGAAGGGGACCTTAAGTTAGTGCGGGACACTCTGGAGTTCTGCAGTGCCTGGAGAGCAGGAGAAGCTCAGCTTGACAGTGGAGTCTACTCTAGGGTAAGCTTAAAAAAGCTCAAGACTTTGTCAACTTTGTCATGACAAGGCAAATCACTGGACTACAAAGAGGAGAGAAATTTACCTCTACCATGGCGTGAGGTCAGCCTGTTTAAGTTACCCGAGCCAATGGAAACCTAGGATGCAAGGTAGTTCCTGCTCAAGCTGAAGGGTTTTATAATAATTTTCCTTGCCAGTAGAGGCAGGGGACTGGGGAGAGGGAGGAGAAGGAACAGTGCAGCAAGACAAAACAGCTTGGGTGGCCTCAGTCATCACATAGCTGTGTAAACAAAGCTCTCCCCTTCTTTGAGAAACACACAGGTTGTTTGAAAAACACATGGTTGGTTTTGTTTTGAGACCAGGTTTCATGTAACCTAGGTTACCATCAAACTCACCATGTAGCCAAGCATGACCCTAACCTTCCTGATTCTTTTGCGACTACCTTCTTGATGTGGGATTCCCCTCTGTATGCTGTGAATATGTTTTATTACCACTGGTTAATAAAGAAGCTACTTTGACCTATGGCAGGGCAGAATGAAGCTAGGTGGGAAATCTGAATAGAGGTATAGAGAGAGAGTAGGTGGAGTCAAGGAGACGCCATGTAGTTGTCAAAGGAGAAAGACACCAGAACCTACCAGTAAGCCACTGCCTTGTGGCGATACACAGATTAATAGAAACAGGTTAATGTAAGATGTAAGAGCTAACTAGGAATACACCTAAGCCATTGGTCAAATAGTGTTGTAATTAACAGTTTCTGAGTGATTGATTATTCAGGTCTGGGAAGCTGGGAAACACAGCACAGTCTCTGTTTATACTTTCTAAATTCTAGAATTACAGACATGTATATCCACACCTGGTTTATGCAGTGCTGGGGACTGAATCCAAGGCTTTATACATGCTAGGCAAGCAGTATAATAATTGGGATACATTGTCCAGCCCTAAAGGCTACCCTCTACCCCCAGACAGGGTTTCTCTGTGTTTAGCTCTGGCTGTCCTTCAACTCTCTTTGTAGACCAAGGCTGGCCTTGAACTCAAGAGATCCACCTGCCTCTGCCTCCTAAGTGCTGGGATTACAGATGTGTCCTGATACCACTACCTGGTCTCCTAAAGGCTATATTTGATTTCAATCCAAAAATGCATAAACCAGGCCCCATGGTATGTGGTTATAGTCTCAGCTACTCAAGAATTTAGGGTGGAGGACAGATTATGCCCAGGAGTTTGGGGCCCAGAAGAGCTACACTAAGTTGCGGAGAGCTGTCATCTAACCCTCCAGATCAGAAACTCACAGCATATGCAACACCCAGCATCACCATGCCTTTCTAATATTGGTCAGCATGAGTGGACAGTACCTCTTTCAAGAGCTCTTGTACATGATCTTCTCCTGACAAATTCTGTTCTAGTCTCTTTTCCAAGAATATAACCTTCTCTTGCAAATGTGTGATGATTTTTTCTTTCTCTTGAGTTTCAGCAGTGACCTGTAGGGAAAGCACAGTCATTCTTTAAGCCCTTTTACCTCTCTTCCCTGCCCTGTGTCATCATCATGCTTCTCTGGAATCCTGTGCTCAATCACATCACAGAAACACACGCAACCAAGAAAGTTTTCCTAAAAATGGGGGTGGAGATGCCAGATGAGAACCAGCAACATTAAAGGAAGAGACCTAGCACAAAGCGAAGCAAGCACCAGGTCAGACACAGAGCATCAAGAAGGAAGCATGATAGTCTGGGAAGAAAAAACCCACCACTCTCCTGGTAGAGAAAGCAAGGCTAATTCCATTGAAGAAGCTCCTGGAGTCCCTGAAATAATCTTTGAATCACATTCCTAAGGCCCTTGATTCAAGGGCTATTACTGACAATGAACAAACATTCCCAATCAGAAAATCATAATGATGTTCTTCGAAACTCAAGAGCTGGTTGGGTACGGCAGGGACAAAGATGAGACAACTGCTTTAAAGCCAACCAGAGAAGTTCTGAAACAAATGACAGGAACTAATATGGCCACCATGAATCTCACAGCTTGCCCTGAGAACAAGTGTCTACTTCAACTTGATGTTCTATCAATGAATGGAGTGATGATGGTGACAGATGGGAGTTGGTTTCTCTCATCACCACCAATCACCAAATGGTGCTCAATGTCAGATCTGAGGCACCTAGATTCATGGTGGTCCCTTCCACTGAGGATGCCATTCTCCTCTCCCAGAGAGGTGCTATGCACACCCCTCACTGTTCCCTTGAATGCCCTGCTTAGACTTCCATTGCTCCAGCTCAAGCCACAGACACATTGAACCTGGGTCAATCTCTCCTGAGGAAGATGCAGCTGAGTTTAGGGTGTTGGAGAAGTATTTGCTATTCTCAACTGTTACCAGCGAAAGCAAGACTGAGTGGGAGAACTCTGAAGAATGGACACACCCCACAATTTAAATAAGTTCTTTCAGGCCTAAATATTATCTGTTGCCTCCTGAGAATATACAGCTTCTGACCCGCAAAAGCAAGAAGTCTGGTCCCTTAGAGTAGAGACAGACACCTATATTCATATAACTAACTACAAAGTAACATAATTACTCTATAAGACAGTGACATACAAAGTGCTTGAGGAAACAAAGGCAGTAGGGATCGACTATTTGAGACGCTCTGACTAGGCCTCCCAAACAGGAAGTTCAGGTCATAGAGGCAGTAGAGGAGACAGAACTGTGGTAGAGAGCAGTATAATGGTTTGTCAAGTTGACACTGGAATAGAGTCTCAATGAAGGATCATCTGCATCAGGCTGGTCTGTAGGAATATTGGTGGGATGTTGTTTTGATTGCATTAATTGATACTGAAAAACCCAGCCCAGCCCCTGGCTTTTAGTCTTGGACCATGTAAGTAGAGAGAGGGGCTGAGCACAAGCGTGCATGCACACACTATTTCTCTCCGTTCTGGACTGGCTGCTTCCAGTCCCTGCCACTTTCACTTCCCCTCAGTAACGGACTATGTAGTGGTTTGAGTAAGACTGTCCTCCACAGGCTCATACATTTGAATGCTTAGTCATTGGGGAATAGAATTATTTGAAAGGATTACAAGGATAAGGAGGTGTGACTTTATCAAAGGAAGTGTGTCACTGAGTAGGCTTTGAGGATTCAAAAGCCCATGCCAGACCCAGTCTCTCTCTCTCTACCTATGGACCAGGATGAGGTGCTCAACTACTGCTCCTGGTCTGCTTACACGCTCCTGCCAGGTGGTAATGCACTACCACTCTGAAACAAGCCTTCAGTTAAATGTTTTTTTGTTCTTAATATAAGAGTTTTTTGGTCATGGTGTCTCCTCACAGCAACAGAACACCCATAAGATATACTGTAACCTGAAATTGTAAGCTAAGATAAATTCTTTCTCCCTTAAGGTTGTTTTACTAGAATAAACAATACATGCCAAGAGTTAAGACAAAGTTCATCTGGATCAGGAAACTGGGTAGAGGGACCAGAAAGGCTGAAGACACACCTGAAACCTGTGCCCTGGATGCTGGGGTAAACATTCACAATAAAATAAAATATTCACAAAGTAGATAACACAGGAGAGATGAGTGTCAAGACAAGAAAGCCTATAATGATGTATCCCACAGATCTCCCATTGTACCACAAAGCCCGGGCAACAGAAATACTTGCAAAGCAGCAGCCTGCAAGCATGTACGAGCATTTCCCATTATCTCTGGTCCTTATAACCACTCTTCATTGTGTCAGAGCTCAGCCACACAGTAAGGGTTCAGACTAGTCTTCTGACTCTAGGCCTGCGCTCTTTCTGTTGTCAGCTCTCTGAACTTGACGAACACCATGGTAACCCTTTCCACTGAAGACCAACCATCTTACACAGGTTACAGTGCTGATTAGTAGAACATCAAGATGGGGTCAGAAAAAGAATCAAGTTGCCAAAATTCCAGTTAGTCTTCTTATGGATTGCATCTTACAGTACTTTTGGTCTGGTTGTGCTATGGCCTTCAACACAACACCAGGGGCTAACTAATGGCACTACTACCAAACATGATCCCTGCTGCCAAACCTGTTCATTTCCTAAGTCTCCTTCTTCACCTGTTCTCTAGTTACATCTAAACTTCATCTAAAACAAGAGCTACATTAGACCGGGGACACAGAAGTGGGGTGGGTGTGGTAGTGTACAATTTAATCAAAGCACTCAGAAGGCAAAGACAGTGGGATCTTTGTGAATGGAAGGCCAGCCTGGTTTACATAGTGAGTTTGACTCTGTCTCAACAAGACAAACAGCAAGATTTAGAACACTTACAACATGATTTCATTTATATAATACTAAGAAGGATGAGAACAAATGAAGATACTGTATAGGAATCAAATAGGGTAAAAATATAAAACAAACCAAGAATTAAAACAATCTATGGCAGGGGGCTAGAGAGATGTCTCAGAGCTTAAGGGCACTAGCTGCTCTTCCAGAGGTTCCAAGTTCAATTCCCAGCAACCACATGGTGGCTCACAGCCATCTATAATATAATCTGATGCCTTCTTCTGGCCTGCAGGTACATATACAGAACACTCATACACAAAATAAAAATTAAAAAAACAAAACAATCTCTGGCTTGTGCATTATTATTATTGTTATTATTATTATTTCGAGACAAAGTCTCACCATGTAGAACAGGCTGGCCCCAGACTCTCAAGCGCTGGAATGAAGGGTATGTGCCAACATGGCCAGTTTGTGCTTGTTTCTGAAGGACACATAGAAGCTTTGTACCAAAATACTGTTTTCTCAACCTCAAGAATACATATATGGGGAGTCAGCAGTTCATGACATTTTCTGCCTCACCCTTATTTTTATACATCTGGTAGTGTCCTCTGAGTAATGGCTGGCAGTGTCAGCAGCTCATATGCTCAAGCCAGGAACCAAGGGATTCAGTTTTGTCAATCTCCTCACTATTTGTTAAGTTTGTCCAACGTCCATTTGCTATGGATCTTAGGAATGGTACCATCATGGGCTGGCGAGATGGCTTAGTGTGTAAAGGCACCTGCTGCTGAGTTCAGTCCCGAGGACTCACATGGTGGAAGGAGAGAACTGACTCCTGAAGGCTGTCATCTGACCTCCACATATTTGCAATGGTACAGATTCACAAATGCACACATGATAAAAAATAATTTAAAATTTTAAGCCATCAGCACTTTGCACATTTTTTTTTTTTTTGAAAGGGAAGGCCCTTTCAGTATTCTCTGTCCTACAGTCAAATGAATCCACTCTTCTCTGTGGCCCCTTTCCAGCTCTCTGCCAGGCCCTTAATGTGCCAGTTTCTTTACTTGTCTCAGGGTTTTCCTTTCATCCATCCTGCCCCATTCCATCAGGGCATCACTGGGTGTCAATGTCTGAAGGCAAACAGTATGATCCCAATGTGGAGGTCTGATCTGATGCCCCGTCCAGGCTCCCACAGCATCTCAGTCTTCCTTCAGTGCACTCACTGAAGTTACTCATTATACACGGATGTTACTACTGGTTACATCTGTTGACTGTCAAGACTACAGGCACCATACAGGCAGGGGCAGTATGCGTTCTGCTTACCACGGTGTTTCTAATAGCTAGAATACAGCCAAGTACATAGGAAGCCTCAGCATTTTCACAAAGGACGGAACCTCTAAGACTACAGACTTGACATTCCTGGGCCTTTTCTCTCAATTCTAAAAAAGTTGATGAGCAGGTGAGAGAGTGCATGCCTTGTAGTCCAGCACTTGTAAGGCAAAGGAAGGACAACCTCTGAGGGCATTTTTTTTTTTTGTGTGTGTGTTTGTCAAGACAGGGTTTCTCTGGTAGCTTTAGAGTCTGTCCTGGGAGTTCCAGGCCAGTTCTAAGCCAGGCAAGGCAATAGTGAGACCCTGTCTTAAAAACAGAAAAGGTGGATAGTGGATGGTTCTACCAGAAATAAAGGGCTTCAGGAGGACTTTGTACCCTTTGCTTTCTACCCTCTGGGTGTCTTACTTATCCTTGTCATGCTACTTCCTCTGGGAAGACTTCCTTGGCTCTTGGCTAGAAATGTAGTCTCCCCGATATATCTTATGTGCTTGAAAAATCTATGTGACTTCAAAAGGGACCCTAAGAGAGATATACATGGATCTAATCTACATAGGAAGGAGAAAAAAAAAAACCCAAGATCTCCCGAGTAAATTGGGGGCGTGGGGATCAAGGGAAAGGGTAGAAAGGGAGGGGGAGGAATGTAGGGGAGCAGAGAGAAAATATAGCTCAATAAAAATAATAATAAATAAATTACCTACTTAATAAAAGAAAAAAATCTATGTGCTTATTTGGGGCTTGAGTTTTTCCTTGTGAGCATAAGATGTTTGAATTCTATAAACAAACTGAAAGCCTCTGTGGGAAAACAATGTATATGTCTAGATATTAATTTAAAGAAGGGTAAGGACCTTGTACCACACACATTAATTTATGTATTACAAATTTACTGCTCCTCCCGCCTCTTTTCTGTAACAGTGTTTAACCATGTATACAATATTCTGTCTGTGTGTATGCCTGCAGGCCAGAAGAGGACACCAGACCCCATTACAGATGGTTGTGAGCCACCATGTGGTTGCTGGGAATTGAACTCAGGACCTTTGGAAGAGCAGGCAATGCTCTTAACCTCTGAGCCATCTCTCCAGCCCCCTCTTTTTCTTTTAAGAAAAAAAAAAAAGGATAGCAGGGTGGCGAGGAGACTTGAGAGATACGGCTATTCTTCCTTCTGTCTCTGTGTACCTTCATGAGTTACTTTCCAGCAGAGCCTTGTGGGGCCAGAGCATCTGGAGGGTCATCTCCTCCAGGGCTAGTCACAGCCACTACGAGGAGGGCCCAGGGAAGAATTTGCCATTTTTCATAGAAGACAAAAGGCAGTTGTTGGCTATGAGGACCATGTACTTTGGATCTGGATTTGCTGTACTTTTCTTTATAGTAAGGCACCAGTTACATAAGAAATAAGGAAGCTTAATTCATCCCTTTAACAGACATAAAGAATGTTTACAAGAACCAAAGGGAGTAAACTCTGGAATGCTTATACTAGATAAGATTGTAAACAGAGAGAGAGAGAGAGAGAGAGAGAGAGAGAGAGAGAGAGAGAGAACATGAAGTTGGGTAGGTAGGTAGGGGTGGGGGGGAAATCTATGAGAAGTTGGGTGTGGGAAAAGAATATGATCAAAATATATTAGATGTGGTTAGAGAGATGGTTCAGCAGTTAAAAGCACTGGCTGCTCCTCCAGAGGTCCTGAGTTCAATTCCCAGCAACCACATGTTGACTCACAACTATCTATAGAGAGAACTGCTACCCTCTTCTGGTGTGCAGATGTACATGCAGACAAAATACTTACATACATAAAATACACAAAAAACCCTTTAAAGTATATAAGGTATAGAAAAAAGAACCGGATAGAATAGTCCTTCAGGGCTGATGAGACAGCTCAGCAGGTTAAGGTCTGCCACCAAATCTTATGACCTAGTTTGATACTTTTAAAAAGTCTATTATAGGGCTGGAGAAATGGCTCAGTGGTTAAGAGCACCTGCTCTTCCAAAGGTCCTGAGTTCAATTCCCAGCAACCACACGGTGGCTCACAACCATATGTAATGAGTTCTGGTGCCCTCTTCGGACCTGCAGGCATGCAAGCAGACAGAATACTGTATACTTAATAAATAAATAAATAAGTATTAAAGAAAATAAATAAAAAGTCTATTATATTTTTTTTTATGTGCACTGGTGTTTCACCGTCTGAGGGTGTTGGGTCCCTTGGAACTAGAGTTACAGTTATAAGCTATCATGTGGGTGCTGGGAATTGAACCTAGGTCCTCTGGAAGAGCAGCCAGTGCTCTTAACCATTGAACCATCTTTCCAGTTCAACCTAGTTTGATTCTTAGGACCTACGTGGGGAACAAAAGAGAACTGACTACTGTGGGTTGACTTCTAACACACACACACACACACGTAGTCTTTCACTTTGGTGTTATGTTCATCTATGTGTTCTCAGAATTTAACACAGGCCTATACTTTTTGCCTACTGGGCAATAAAATGTCTTTTAGCTAAATGAGAAACAAAACTAGAAAAAAAGAACAAAAAACAATGGAAGTCCTAATCCAACTGTGGCCATGACAGTGACACTCTTCTACTCAAGGTCTATTATGTGGTACTTTAAGACATACATAATACTATTTTTCTTTAAGGCGGTAAGTACTGAACTCAGGGCCTCATGCTAAGCAAGTGTTCTATAGATGCACTATACTTTCAGGCCCATAAGACATGGGCAGAACAAATGACACACTTTATATGGAGACAGTGACACAAACTGTTAATCTCAGCTATCTGGGAGAATGAGGTTGGAGAATTCTAAGTTCTAAATCACTTTAAGCAATTTAGATTGCCAATCAAAACAAAATAAATAAATATTACCCTTTGAGAATTTCTGCTAGGATACAATTTTCTGTTCCTCCTTCACTTCTTCCAGTTTATATATATATAAATTGATAGTGCACATTGTTTTCAAAGCCAGCCTCAAATGTCTAGGCCCAGTAAATCTGCCTTAGTTTCCAAAGTCCCTTGACTACAGGTATGTGCCACCACACCTGGAAATACTGTCTTTTCTGTTAAGCAACCTGCTGAGTAGTGGTCCCACATGAGTGCAGCCTGCCAGAACAGAAGTAGGATCTATGGTCCACTCAAGAAGCACACACTCCAGCAGGACATTATTACTTATGCTGCTGTGCTTACCTTTTGCAAATCAATAGAAAGCTGCTGAATGAATGCTTGGAGTTCTTGTTCCTTTTGTTCCAGGACTACAATCTTATGTTCTGCACATGCTTTTGAAGATATCACATGATCTCTTCATTGAAAGAAAACAGACAATGAGCAAATTTTGGTATTTCCTCTATGGCACACTTGCCAAAGGAAGAATGCACACAACTCCTTATATTTCAGGCTGGAAGTGTTATTACAGCACACTAAATTTATCTCTGTGAAAAAGCTCTTTGGCTTTCAGAAGCAGGAAGACCACCAAGGTCTAAGCAAGGAATTCTGATCTGTCTTTGAGTACTCAATAACTTTACAACTCAAATCTGACTGTACTGCTCGGCAGGACTGGAATGGCCTTGTGCCTACGCTGTGATGGCATGGAGGGCCTGAGGACAAATCCAGAAGGCTTTGCCAGCACTGACATCAGAAAGAGCTCTGATGAGCAATGGGGACATGTGGGTGGCTATAGCAATGGTACACCAACACCTCTCCCAAAGGCCCCACAGACCAAGCGAGAACCTCTGTTCTTCCAGCGTAGAGCAGTGTCTCTGCAATTCTTCTAGCTGCTGGCTTAAGTCAGACGATATCTGATTGGAAGTAACCAATTCCTCCTGAGTGCGATTAAGTTCCCTGGTTCGTGCGTCCAACTCTTGCTCCATTTTCCCCAAGCTTTCTTCTTTTCTTAAAAGCTGATAAGAAGACATAATGTCCTATTAGGCCACCGCTAAGAAACACAATTTGAATAAATGATCAGGCCACTGAGATGGTTCAGTGGGTATAGGAACTTGCAGTACAAGCTGGTCACCTCAATTCAACCCCTAGGTTCCATTGCGCAAAGGGAGAATGGACTCTGAAAGCTGTCCTCTGACCTCTGCACGCATGCTGTAGCATATGGAGCCACCTCTGGCTCACCACCCCACACCCCTACAAATACAGAGAAAGACTTTTCTGTGGGCTGAGCACTGGGCTAATGTGTAGTTCTTACACAAATAGAAGGTGTGAAAGATACATTTCAAATACAACTTTTCCACTTTGAATAAATCAGAAAACACTGCAATGTGGTTAGTATCAAAGACTGTGAGGGTGCTTATAGCCATGAGAGTGAGGCACAAGGACTCATTGCTTCCCGGTACGATTCCTGAACTCTGGAACAGAAACACCTACCATGTGTTTTACTTTGCTCATCTCCTGCTGCTGGAACCCCTCTAACTCATCAATTTCATCTCTCTTTTGAAAAAGGCTCAGGCTCTGATTCTTCATTTCCTGCAGCTGAGTTGTCAGATATCTTTTATCCTGTTTGCAAGAAGACACTAACTTAGGCAACCCAGGAATTAGAAATCTGTATTGTAAAATAAGAACATTTTAAATTGTTTTCACACTGTGCATCTGTAGATATATGCATACAAGCCGTAACACATGTGTGGAGGTCAAATGATAATATGTGGGTTCCAGGGATCAAACTCAGGTCGACAGATTTGGCTATAAGAGCCTTTCCCTATGAGTCCAGCCCCCAGACATTATTTTGAGACGGGGCTTTACTTATGTAGCAACAACTATGCCTCTAAAGCCCATGAAACAATAGTCCTGTCACAACCATGTGTCATCTCTGGCTCCTCAGTGCTAAGCTCTGAGAAACATTCTGGCTTCCTGACTGTTCTGTTAGGCAGCGTTCCCAATGTGACTACAGGATCAGTCAGCGCCCACAAACCAACAGATAGCACGGTCAATTTAGGGATCTTGAGAATGGTTTCATAAGACGATTACTCAAACCTGTGAGTACAGACACTTATAGGAGTATTATAGTAGTAACTGTTAGGGCACTAACAAGAGGGAACAGTTATGAGAAAAACCATCTCAGAGTATCCATCTGAACCAACAGGCCAAAAGAAGCTTAAATTTTTGACCATGGGATTAAGGAAATCTGAGGAACCCCATGTGGACAAAGCTGAGGAACAAACACGTGAATGATCCTCTTTCCATGATCATTCTTCTAGTGTTCTTAAGTGGCCACTCAAAGTCAAAGCACCGAGCCCAGGTGATGCAGCAACAACCAGCCTTCAGGTAAAAGGAAGAAGTGAGGGTTGGGAATATAGCAGAAAGGGCTAATAAAGGACACCCGGAATGCCCACTATGGAAGAGTAAGAGGCAGGCTGTTGAAGTCAATCTAATCACTCAGTGTTATGCTTCCAGGAGGTACTATCACAACCAGTACTGTGAGCTGGACACTGGGGAGAACAGTACTCCCACCTCCTACTTCCTTTTGGTTCCCTGGGATTGAAACTAGAGCCTTACACGTGCTAGGCAGGCACTCTACTACTAATCTATATGCTTAGTTCTTTTTTAACTTTTCTTTTTTGCACAATATGTGAGATTTGTTTTTATTAATGTTTATTATTTATGTGTGTAAGTTTGTGTGAACGTGGACGTGGACGTGCCAGAGTATATATATGTGTAGGTCAGAGAACAACTTGTGGGCGATGTTCTCTCCTTTCACCATGTGGGTTCTGGAGACTGAACTTAGGCATCAGGCTTGGCAGCAAGTACCTTTACACACTGAACCATCTTGCTAGCTCCCACTTCTAATTTTGAAAGAATTAAAGTGACTGGCTCAGTGGTTAAAAGCACTTTCTGCTATTCCAGAGGAGCCAAGTTTGGTTTCCAGTACTCATGGCAAGTAGCTCACAACTAATTGTGACTCCAGCTCCAGGGGGGTCCATGGCCTCCAAGGACACCTGCACACATAGTTACACAGATACATGTAACATATGCATGAATTTAACAAGCAATCTTTCTTTTTTCTTTTTTTTTAAACCTAGAGCTTTGTTAAGCTACTTGGGCTGATCTTGAACTTACTCTGTAGTCAGGGCAGGCTTTGACCTTGCAATCCTCCTGCTTCAGTCTACCAAGTAGCCGGGGTTACAGGCCTTTACCAATGAGGCCTGGCTGAAGAAAACATTTCCTAAGTCCCAGAGATAATGCTAGCATTCATACAACAAATATGACTAACCTTTTCAAGCTGGTCCATCTTTTCTGACCATTCCTAAAACAAAACAAGAGGAGAAGTAGTTTCCAGGGAAGAGAATCTGCAATGTCGAGACTCAGAAAACAACCAGCTCTTAAAAGTTATCCATCAACCAGAAAAGGGAATGAGAAATAGCAACATAAATAAGCAAAAAATACCCACAAAATTGGTTCAGTATTAAGAAAGCTAAATGTCCTAAAAGAGTTACCCATGAACACTGCTATTATTTTGTGACAGTGGGCAGCTAGACCACTGAGTCAGGTCACAAGGCTGATGCTTAAGACATCAACTTACTGAAAGTCTAGGGATCATGACCAACAGTATTTGGTAATAATCTGTGCCCTTGGCTTAATTCTCTGGTGTATGACAAAAAGAGGAGATATTATATTCTTTATTTACAAACCACAGAATACAAGGAAAATAACACTGGTAAAAAAGAACCAATTTCAATAGCTGCTAATCAGAATATACTACTTTTAGACTGTTTTCTCTCACATTTACATATATTCACACCATAGTTGTAAATGATTCTTTAATATTTATAATTTAAAACAAATACCACTCATCTATAGTGATAAAGATTATCACTATGAAACACTGATGATACCCTAATTAAAACAATACTGACTAGCTGGGCAGAGGAGGCGCACGCCTTTAATCTCAGCACTCAGGAGGCAAAGGCAGGCGGATCTCTGTGTTGGAGGCCAGCCTGCTCTACAGAGTGAATTCCAGGACAGCTAGAGTTACACAGAGAAACCTTGTCTTGAAAAAAACCCCAAAACAAACAAACCCCAATAACAACCACAAAAAACCAAAACACTACTGACTATATCAAACACACCCCAATAGTTAATGTAATATTATCTTTCCCTTTTAAATTTTTTGTTTTGTCTTTATTATTATGGAGACAGGGTTCATCTAGGTCAGGTTGGCCTTGAACACCTGATCTTCCTGTATGCACCTAAGTGTTGAGATTATAGGTGTGCACTACACCTGGCTTACTTTACCCTTTGTTGTCATTTATTTAGCATCTCTCAGTAGCTGTTTCTATGGAGACCGAGAGTCCCCTTCTGGGAACTGGAGAGATGGCTCAGTGGTTTAGAGCATTTGACTACTCTTCCAGAGGCCCTGAGTTCAATTCCCAGTAACCACATGGTGGCTCACAACCATCTATAATGGGATCAGATTCCTTCTTCTGGTGTATACATAAAGTACATGATTTTTTTTTTTTTTTTTTTTTTTTGTTTTTCGAGACAGGGTTTCTCTGTGGCTTTGGAGCCTGTCCTGGAACTAGCTCTTGTAGACCAGGCTGGCCTTGAACTCCCAGAGATCCGCCTGCCTCTGCCTCCCGGTGCTGGGATTAAAGGCGTGCGCCACCATCGCCCGGCCATGAATTTTTTTTTTTAAAGAGTCCCCTTCTGTCTATACTTGGTTTGGGAGAAAGAGACGGATGGGCTATGTGATAAGAGTGACAGCATCTTACACTGGAAGGGCAGGTGTAGGTTTGGGGACAACTTTTTAGAGGATGAGACCTTTTACTTATTTGTAGGCTAACTAGTAGATGACGGACACATCCATTTCTGTCTGTATTTTACAAAGATGCACAGAGAGAGCATTCTGGACACATTTTATGATTAAACTATCAAGTCTGACTTCATAAGAAAAGGTCAAATGAATCCTTAAAGAACTTATATTAGTGGCTGGAGAGATAGCTCAGCAGTTGAGAGCACTGGCTGCTCTTCCAGAAGACCTGGGTTCAATTCCCAGTAACCACACTGCAGCTCAGTCATCTGTAACCCCAGTTCCAGAGGATCTGGTACACCTACACAGGCAGGCAAGATACCAACACACATAAGTACAGATAAATCTTAAAGAAACAAAAAAACTTATATTCATTCTTTTCCTTCTAGGTTGTAAAGACTTTACTTGGATCTCCATTCCTAAATGAAATCTTTCCCTAGCCTTGGGCAGTACCACACAGAAAATACCTGGTCCTTCCTGGCTAATGCCAGAGCCAGTCCTTCTGCCATTTTGGCTCTGTTGGCTTGGAATGTCTCATTCTGCTCTTGAAATTTCCGCATGGAAGCTGTTAACAAAGAGGCTCTATTTGAGATATGGAAATACTTCAGAAACAACATGACAAACAGCCCATGTGAGTAGTTTACAAATGCCACCAAATGAGAAAGGCAAGGCCATAGAAATGGATTATGAGACTGTGAGAAACTTGATTTCCCAGAACCTTTCTGCCCTGGTAAGATGAGCTTAGTTTGCTGTCTGGTTCCTTACTTTTGCCTTCTGTAACAGTGAAGACATCACACAGGTGAGAGGCAGAAAGCACTACCTACTGTGGTTGCTGTGAAGTGACAGCTACTACCTCTTCAACAGAATTGAAAAACAATAAAAAAATCAAAACCAATAACAACAATACCAAAACAAAAGCATTCTTCATTTTCTTTCTTCTTCCTGTAACATCTTCCTTAGATGACAATACCCAAGGAAAACTTAAATTGGGATAGGTCAGGGCAATTTAACAAAATATATGTCCATTCTGTTGTTGCTACAGTGATGTCAGAGGTTTTCCACAGTTGATCAGTATAACAGTAATGAAACTACACTGAGAATATTCTTCTAGGTTAGACTCAAGGGCAATCAGTAAGTGGGTCAACTCGACAGAGGTGAGCACAAAATGATCCCCTCTTAAGAAATATGTCCACAAAAGCAACAGAAATACACTTATACTTGATAAATTCTAGTCAAACATTGTTATCAATCTGATTAAGTACACTATAAAATAGGGATGAGTTCTGATGGACACAAAGAACAATATACTAATTCATTTAAAAAGCTAAAGCCTGAAAAGATTAAAGAAAGCAGGAAAAGAAATACGTACAATCTTGGTGTTTTTCTAATGCAATTTCAAGCTTCTCTTTTATCTTCTGCAAGTTTCGGACCTGTTCAGCATAGTCTTGGGTGAGGAGGGATGCACATACCAGGAGTGGACAAACATTAGGAAAGGAAGTTAATTAAACAAACAAAGTGAATGAAAATGATGATGATTTTCTTAATCTGAAAACCAGTACTGTTAAGGAAAACTAGGAAGAAAGCCTCCATTAGCAATGAATGACACAGGCAAGCAGGAACCGTACAAACTTTCCATGGTATAAACAATGAGTACAATAAGTAGATTTGTTTAGCCTTGACAGAGAACAACAGTTAGGCCAGGCTGGGCCATTGGAGGTTCCCTGCTATGGAAAACCCACCATTATCTTCATTACTCAGTTCTAAGTTTCACTACTTCTGTGGTGATATGAATGAGAATGGCCCATAGGCTCATGTATTTGAATGCTTAGTCACCAACAATAGAACGGTGACTAAGACAGTTCCCATTCCCTGTTGCAGGACAGTAGATCAGGGGTGTTCACTAAAAGCCCACTTGCAGACCACACAGCTGAGAGGCAGTGGTAGACAAACAGCAAACACCTTAGCTCAGAACTGCCTTTATGGTGCAGGTGTGCTCTCTTTCTCCAGAAACTGAGAGGTGGATGCCAGCTCAAAGGGGAAAGAATTACCCAGGTTTCCAAAGAAAGCAGTATGATATGGTATAAAATTAGAAGTAGTTCAAATCCCAACTGTGTCATTTCTTAGCTAGGGATCTTAAGTAAATTACTCATCTGGAATCTTCATATGTTAGCTGATAATAATTACATCTATTCCCTCTCCTTTTTTCTCTTTCTCCCTACCTTCCACCTACCCTTTCTCCCTCTCTCTGAGACAGAATTTCTCTGTGTAGCCCTGGCTGTCCTGGAACTTCCTCTGTAGACCTGACTGCTCTCACACTCAGAGATTCACCCGCCTCTGCCTCCAAAATGCTGGAATTAAAAGTGTTCACCTAATTACATATCTGATCTAATCACATCTATTTCAAAGGAAGCATTAAAGTAACTTGTATGCATTAAGTGCTGGGCACACAGTGATGAATAAAACATAGCTGCCATGGTCATTACTCAGTTACAATTCTGAAATGTTAACTCTATATGACTCTGCCATTGTCAAGTTCTGTATTGGGAAAAGCCCGTACTACAAGACAAGTACTTTCCCAGCACTGAGAACAGTTATTTCACTTCTGTTTACTGGTGTTGTTTACAGGTACCAAGACAGAACCACCGACTTTATGGCCACGTGTACAAGACAGTAGCAGCTGACTTCAGCAGACTGGAGTTCTGTCTGAGTCTTACTTTGAATAGATTCCAGTTCTACCACTGACTCCCTGTGCGCCTTACCTTGCTGACCCTAAGAAGCTGATCCTGAAGAAAACTACAGTGTGAACAGTGCTCTGGAACCTTGGTAGTCTAAACAAATCTATTTCACATACAATCCAGTGAATTTTGGTTTACTGTTTTTATCCCAATTAAATCGGCATAAAGTCAAGGACCAAAAGGATACACATAAACCATGGGCCACAACACAGGATGAAGCTATCATAATGTGTTCATTGTCAAAAACCAATAGAAACACTCACAATTCTATCATGAACAAGCCTTGCTGAGTGAATTGTAGACTGAATAGGAACTGTGATGTTTGAATGAGAATGGCCCTCACTGGGCCTGGGGTGCACACCTTTAATCTCAGCACTTGGAAGTCAAAGGCTGGCTATCTGAGTTCAAGGCCAGCCTGGTCTACAAATTAAGCTCCAGGGCTGTTATTCAAAGAAACTGTCTGGGCAGGCAGGGGACACCCCACACACGTAAAACAAAACAGAATGGCCTCCACAGGCTCATCTATTTGAATGCTTAGTCACTAAGGAGTGGCCCTATTTGAGGGCATTAGAAGATGGGCCTTGCAGCAGTAGGTGAGACCTTGTTGGAGGAGGTGTGTCATTGGGGGTGTGCTTTGAGGTCTCAAAAACCCTCACCAGGCCCAGTCTCTCTCTTTGTTTTTGGATCTGCACGTAGCTCTCAGTTACTTCTACAGCATCATGCATGCTTGCCATGATAATAATGGACTAATCTCTTGAAACTGTAAGGAAGCCCCCAATTAAATGCTTTCTTTTTCAGAGTTGCCTTGACTATTGTGCCTCTTCACAGCCAACAGTACAATAACTAAGACAGAGATGTAATGAAAATTACATCTAAATATAATTCTCCCAAAGAAGCAGGTATTAAAGTCAGGAAAACCACTGAGAAGTCCTGGAGCAAGCCTCCCTCACACCAAGAGGCAGCTTAGCATCAACATCTGTTGATCATTCCCTATAGACAGTAGTCCCAATAACGTTCCACCTGCAAGTAAGTATGCTAACAGTGAAACACGGCCAAATCTAGTCTATATACACTTTTCTCGCTTTTAAAAAAGATTCTTTAGGGACTGGAGAGATGGCTCAGTGGTTAAGAGTACTTGCTGCTCTTCCCAGAGGACACAAGTTCAATTTCCAGCACCCATGTGACAGTTCACAACTATCTGTAACTCCAGTTCCAGGGCATCTGACACCTTCACACCAATGCATGTAAAATAAATTAAAATAAATAGATTCTTCAAATTTCATTATTTTTTTTTCTTTGTGTGCATATGCATGTAGGTGAAGAGCAGAGAACTTGAAGGAGTTGGTTCTCTCCTTCCTCCATTTGAGTCTCAGGGATCAAATGCAGGTTGTCAGGCTTCCCAGCAGGTACACTGACTCTGAGCACCCCGCCACCTCAGTATCTTGCTATGTAGCCTAGGTTGGTGAAGCACGATTAATAAAAACCCAGAGACAGAAATTGGGGTTCAACCTAAAGGTCAGAAAAGCAAAAAGCCAGCCACTGGCTCCTATCTCTACCTCAGTTTGAAATGGTAATCCTGCCTTCAGGAATCTAAGAATGAGACTGTGAGTGAGAGCTGTCTCCTCCCATTTTATAATCCTCTCTAGTTCAGGATTAAGGGCGTGCACCACTACTGCCTGGTTTCTATGGCAAACTAGTGTGGCTACTGGGATTAAAGGTGTGTGCACCATTGCCTGCCTGGTCTGGTCAACATGGTTGTTTCACTTTTCTGCTCCTCAGGAAAATGTGATTTGTTAAAATACAAATGAAATGCCACTACAGGTTGGCCTTAAATTTAGAATCTTTCTGTGTCCCTAAGTACTATTATTAAAGGCCTGCACTACCATATCAACCTCTACATGAACTTTAAACACTTTTTATAGCCATGGGTAGAAAACTCAGAAGCAGAAAAAAACAGTAGCTTTTGCCAGGAGGTGGTGGCACAGGCCTTTAATCCCAGCACTCGGGAGGCAGAGGCAGGCGGATCTCTGTGAGTTCAAAGCCAGCCTGGTCTAGAAGAGCTAGTTCCAGGACAGAAAAATCTTGTCTCGAAAAACAAAACAAAACTAAACAACAACAACAAACAACTTTCAAATTCAATTTGAATTTACAATATTCGGTGTACTAAAATTAAAAAAAATCAAGGTAACAAAGAGGGCACAGAATGTTTTTTCTGACTAAGGAGATCAAGTTCTGTGTGGAAGTTACTACAGTTATCCTATAAAGTAGGCTTATAGCAGGGAAGGGTCATCTGTCCTATGTCTGCTGTTACGGCTTTTTAACACATACCAGAAAGTCTGGCCTCTAACTTCCGTATCTGTTCATTTCTTCTCAAAAGCTGGGATGAGAGGTCTTCTCTGGAGCTGCTTCCGTCAGAAGCCTGTTGGACAGATGAAAGGAGATCACATGGTGAGCCAGCACCAGCTAGAAAAGGAACACCTCTTCTCTTCCATTACATTCTAATTGACTGTAATCCTAAAACCTTCCTAGGGTAACTGACTTTAGCTCCTCGCCTGGGAAGTGGAAGCAACACTACCTCTCTCTGTGACAAGGCAACAGGGGCTGTTAAACAGGTAAGTCATGTGCAGGTGTGGAGTACTGAAAAAATGTAGTCCTGCCGGGCGGTGGTGGCGCACGCCTTTAATCCCAGCACTCGAGGCAGAGGCACACGTCTCTGTGAGTTCAAGGCCAGCCTGGTCTAGAAGAGCTAGTTCCAGGACAGGAACCAAAAAGCTACAGAGAAACCCTGTCTCGAAAATCAAAAAAAAAAAAAAAAAAAAAGTAGCCCTTTATGGAATACTATGGAATAAAAAAGTTCCTTATGATTATATTACACCATTATACAAAAGAGAAATCATTTTGTCTTCTAAAGCTCCTGGAATAAGGGGGAGAAGTCTTTAACAAAGAACCAAAGTCTTGCGCTGGTAAAGCTGCAGTATCCCCATTTACAAAACACAGGGTTATCAATCCCAATCTCTGTAATGCACCAGAATTCCACAGAAAACACATATTCAGTAGCTCAATACATGACTAGGCATCTATTTCCCTCCAACGGCCAATTACTTTAAAATTGGGAAATTTGGGTGGTGCACACTTTTAATCCCAGCACTGGGAGGCAGAGAGGGTGGATCTATATGAATTTGAGGCTAGCCTGGTCTACACAGGGGATTACAGGACAGCTGGGGTTATATTAGTGAGACCTTGTCTCAAAAACAAACTTACTCATGGGAAGCCAGGCAAAGTTGACACAGGCTTTTAATCCCAGTTTAGGAAGCTGGAGTTTAGAGGCTAGCCTGAGTTATATGTTGAAATCCTGTCCTTAAAACAACAACAAAAACTCCCAAACCTAAGAGTTTATGGGTACCACTACTATTACTCTGGATATCACTTGTTACTGCTAAGATAAAACTTACTTTGTGTGTGTGTGTATGGAGGGGGGGTTAAATTATTTTTATTTTATGTGCATTGGTGACTTGTCTCCACGTATGTCTATGTGAGGGTGTTGAGTCCCCAGGAACTGGAGTTACAGACAATTGTGAACTGCAATATGGGTGCTGGGAATTGAACCTTGGTCCTTAGGAAGAACAGTCAGTGTTCCTCACCAAGTCATCTTTCCAGTCCCAATTTCTTTTCTTTTTATTGTTTTTGCAATTTAGGCTGGCCTTGAACTTGGTTATATTATTGCCTCATCCTCCTGAATCCTGGGATTAAAGGCATAAGTCACCATGCCTCACTGTTATACTGACTTTTTTTGTTTTTGTATTTATTTATTTGTGTATATGTGTATACATTTATGTAGAAGTCAGAGGACAATTTGTAGGGGCTGGTTCTTGTCTACCATATGGGTCCTGCGGCTCAAACTGAGGTTGTCAGGCTTGTTATCAAGTGCCTTCACCCACTAAACCATCTCACTAGCTTAAAAGAGAGTAGTGGGGGGATGGGATATATAAAACCCAAGTAAGCACGTAGGAAAATTTCATAAGAAAAATCTAATTGGCAAGTTACTTAAAAATATTTTTTTAAAAACTGGGGCTGGGGGCTGGAGAGATGGCTCAGCGGTTAAGAGCACTGCCTGTTCTTCCAGAGGACCTGAGTTCAATTCCCAGCAACCACATGGTGGCTCACAACCATCTGTAATGAGGTCTGGTGCCCTCTTCTGGCCTGCAGGCATATAGGCAGACAGAATATTGTATACATAATAAATAAATTTAAAAAAAAAACTGGGGCTGGGAGATGATTCAGTAGATAAAGTGATTGCTATATAAGGACTTAAGTTTGGACCCACAGCACCCACATAAAAGCCAGCTATGGTATGCATTTCTGGAACCCCAGTAGTAGGTTGGAGGGAGAAAACAGGCAGATACCATAGCAAAATGGGGACCTCCAGGTTTAGGGGGTAAAAGTGCTTACCAGGCAAGCATGAGTATCTCAGTTGAATTTCCCAGCACCTACATAAAAAACCAAGCATGTCTGCATGTACCATAGTGTTGGGGGAGGAGGGTAGAGACAAGGTGATCCCAAGAACTCCCTGGCTAGCCTGCACAGCCCAAAGGGACTTCTTAGTGAGTGAGAGACCCACTTTGAAAGAAGCCAGAGGAAAAAGAAGGCACCCAATGTCTTTCTCTGGTGTTTGCATGTGCGTGTGTACCTAGGTACCCACATGCATACACAAACACACTGTATACCAAAAACAATAGGTAGCAATAAAGGAAGATTCCCAATGTTGACCTCTGGCCTAAATATATGCCTGCACAAATATGTGCACACATATGCATATATCACATACATGTGGAGGTGGACAAACAAAATTTAAAATACTTAAAGAAAATATTTTTCCTTTTTTTTTTTTTTTTTTGGTTTTTCGAGATAGGGTTTCTCTGTGGTTTTGGAGCCTGTCCTGGAACTAGCTCTTGTAGACCAGGCTGGTCTCGAACTCACAAAGATCCTCCTGCCTCTGCCTCCCAAGTGCTGGGATTAAAGGCGTGCGCCACCACCGCCCGGCTCCTTTTTTTTTTTTTTTTTGAGACAATGTTTTCCTATGTAGTCCAGTCTGATCTTGAATGAAAGTCTTCCTTCCTCACCCTTTGAAATGCTGGGATTACAGGTGTGTGTCACCCTGATGACACCCAAGTCTTTGCTTTTATTATAAAAGTTTCCAGAAACAGCAAAGTGGGGAGAGTGGCCTCATGGTCAATTTCCATTCACCCTTCAAGTGCAACATTGATTTTTTTCACATTTGCTTCTTCAATTCTTATTTAGCCAAAGTTCAAATGATAGACATCAGAAATCTTCCATTCTGAACTCTCAAACATATTTCTAAAGAATGGTATTTTTCTACTTATGCAGAATTCTGTTACTACACCAAACACAATTTAAAATAATACTAATACTCACTCTTTCATATTGCATCTTCATTTCATCCCCAAGATGGTTTTATATGAGGTTGAACAATTCACAAACCATTTTAAACATTTATTTACCTGTTCATATACATGACATTCAATATATACTGGGAGTCAGTTTCTTTCTTTTTTCTTCTGGTACTGAGTAAACCAAGAAACTCAAAGCTTTAGAAAAACATTCTGTACTAGAGACTGAACTAGGGCCCCACTTATGCTAGGAAGGTGCTTTGCCAGTGAATCTTAGCCTGAGGTTCAGCATCAACAGCCGGTTAAGTCTGTGCAGTCACAGCACTGGATTCACCTGTTTCACCACTTAGATGATTACACAATCGCCCTGCACACTGTCTTCCTCACGGGAAAACACTGAATGTGACTAACTTCATAGAGTTGGACGAGGGTACAGAAAGCCATACTTGTCAGTCCCTACAACAGAAGCTGCCACAGACTTACTCCTCACACACCGCTGTCTTCTCTGTTTAGCTGCTGTAACTGATACCATGAATAGGTAGCTTGTAGATGGAGAAATGGATTTCTCAGTTCTGAAATCTGAAAAGTCTAAGACCAAGGCCCTGGGATAGTTCAGTGTTTGGGAAGGGCTCACTTTTTGATTCATGAATGAGCATTTTTTAGCCTCACCCTAAATGGTGGAGCAGGAAAGGCAGTGTCTGGAGCCATTCATAAGGGCACAGATCCTAAATACCTAGGGCTCCTGACTTAATCCTCTCTCAGAGGTTCTTCTTCCTAATGTCAAACAGTGGTGAACTGTGGGGGACATAAACACAAGTTGTTTTGATTATTACTGTGAGTGAAATATCCTAGGCTTTAGCATTGTGTTACATGCTAGGAACAGTGGTGAAACAGGCTTCCCTAACCAGCAGCAGCAACAACAGAAGTTGATTATGAAAAGCTTACTAAGAACTGGGTACTCAACAAAAACACAGACAACTGATGATCTCATTACAGCAAATCCCGAAGAAGAAAAAAAAGCACAAATTAACAAATCAATGATGAAAACTAAATTAACAGGCGACAGCAACCACTGGTCATTAATATCCCTTAATGTAAATGGGCTCAACTCACCCATAAACAGGCACAGGCTAACAGATTGGATACAATAACAGAATCCATCCTTCTTTTGCATACAAGAAACGCATCTCAACCTCAAAGACAGACATCGTTTCAGAGTAAAAGGTTGGGAAAAAAATATACCAATCAAATGGACCTAAGAAACAAGCAGGTGTAGCTATCCTAATATCTAACAAAATAGACTTCAAGCTAAAATCAGTCAAAAGACACAAAGAAGGTCATTTCATATTAGCCACGGGAAAAATCCATAGCCACAAATAGCATAAAATACCTCGGAGTAACTCTAACCAAACAAGTGGAAGACTTGTATGAAAAGAACTTTATATCTTTGAAGAAAGAAATTGAAGAAGACACCAGAAAGTGGAAAGACCTCCCATGCTTTTGGGTAGGCAGAATTAACATAGTAAAAATGGCAATCTTACTGAAAGCAATCTACAGATTCAATGCAATGCCCATCAAAATCCCAGCAAATTCTTCAAAGACCTTGAAAGAATGGTACTCAACTTCATTTGGAAAAGCAAAAAACCTAGGATAGCCAAAACAATCCGGGGCAATAAAAGAACTTCTGGAGGCATCACAATCCCCGACTTCAAACTCTACTACAGAGCTACAGTACTGAAAACAGCCTGATAATGGCCTAAGAATAGACAGGAGGACCAATGGAACCGAATGCAGGCCCGGATATCAATCCACACATCTTTGAACACCTGGTATTTGATAAAGAAGCAAAAAATATCAAATGGAAAAAAAGAAAGCATATTTAACAAGTGGTGATGGCATAACTGGATATCAATATGTAGAAAAATGAAAACAGACCCATATCTATCATCATGCACAAAACTCAAGTCAAAGACCTCAACATAAAGCCAGCCACACTGAACCTTATAGAAGAGAAAGTGGGAAGTACACTTGAACACATTGGCACAGGGACCACTTCCTAAATATAACACCAGCAGCACAGACACTGAGAGAAACAATTAATAAATGGGACCTCCTGAAACTGAAAAGCTTCTGAAAGGCAAAGGACACGATCAACAAGACAAAACGACAGCCTACAGAATGGGAAAAGATCTTCACTAACCTCATGTCAGACAGAGGTCTGATCTCCAAAATATACAAAGAACTCAAGAAATTGGACACCAAAAGAACAAATAATCCAATAAAAAAATGGAGTACATGCCTAAACAGAGAACTCTCAACAGAGGAATCTAAAAATGGCTGAAAGACACTTAAGGAAATGTTCAACATCCTTAGTCATCAGAGAAATGCAAATCAAAACAACTCTGAGATTCCATCTTACACCTGAAAGAATGGCCAAGATCAAAAACACTGATGACAACTTATGCTGGAGAGGTTGTGGGGAAAAGGGAACACTTCTGCACTGCTGGTGGGAATGCAAGCTGGTACCACCCTTTTGGATGTCAGTGTGGTGATTTCTCAAAAATTAGGGAAACATCCTTCCTCAAGACCCAGTAACACCACTTTTGGGTATATATCCAAAGGATGCTCAATCATGCCACAAGGACATGTGCTCAACTATGTTCATAGCAGCTTTGTTTGTCACAGCCAGAACCTGGAAACAACCTAAATGCCCCTTGATCGAAGAATGGATAAAAAAAAAAAGTGGTACATTTACACAATGGAGTACTACACAGCAGAAAAAAATAACGACAGCTTGAATTTTGCAGGAAAATGGATGGAACTAGAAAGCATTATTTTGAGTGAGGTAACCCAGACACAGAAAGACAAACATAAAGCAAAGAAAGCCAGCCTACAAACCACAATCCCAGAGAATTTAGACAACAATATGGACACTAAGAGAGACTTAAATAGATATAATCTACATGGGAAGTAGAAAGTATAAAACGACAAGATCTCCTGAGTAAATTGGGAGCATGGGGACCTTGGGGTAGGGTTGAAGGGGGGAGAGTAGAGGCAGGGAGGAGACCAGAGAAAAATATAGAGCCCAATAAATATCATGGAAAAAAAACCTGGGTACTATAGGATTTCTGTTTTCATGGGATTGAGGATGGAACCCAAGCTTTGTGTATGCTAGGCAAGCACTAAAACACTGAGTACTCCTGGCCTATCACCCAGTCTGGGGGATGATTTGGGATATCCCTGACACATACTTTAATAAAGATAGATACCATTTCTATTTTTGTTTCAGAGATATGGGAACTAAACAAAGAAGAGTGAAGGAAGCTGTCCACTGTCACACAATAACAATGTAGCAAGAATTCAAAATCAGCTTGGTATGGTGTCACATGCCTTTAATCCCAACCCCCAGGAAGTAGAGGCAAGGAGATCTCCATGAGACTAAGGCCAATCTTGCCTACATAGTAGGTTCCAGGCCACCCATGGCTACATAGTGAGACAATGTCTCAAGAGAAAAAGAAAAGACCTAAGACCCAGGTCTTGGTCCTATGACCTTTGCGAGTTATTAGTGCTTCACTTTATTACCTCTCATGGAATGCCTAGTTTAGTAGAGACTACCAAGTGAATACGAACTAGTAATTCACAGTATCAGATGCTACTACTAAAGAAAGAGGAAACTAGCACCAAACCCAGGAGGAGGGAAGGGTTGGGGTTGAAGGGAATCTCTAGAAGTGATATATGAGGAGAGACTGTGAAAGAAGCCCCAGAATCTTTCAGAGGAACACAGGTATGAAAGCGAGACATTAGACACTCTAGAGTAAATAAGCATAAGCAAAAATTTGTAGGAAGAAGCAATGAAGTCTATTTCAGAATGTTCAATAAATTAAATATGGATCCAGCATAGGCGTAATAAGTCGAGTGAGATGAAACCATCAGTTTATACACCACAATATGAGTTCCTGAAAATGAGAAGAAAGCTACAGAGTTTTAAGCATTGAAAGACATAAATAAATTTACTTTTAAGATCATCTTGGGAGAAAGCAATTGGAAGCAGAGCATCAAGACTGGTGACTTTTATCCAGGAAAAAGGGCAGCCTGGGATAAGAGGGAAACACTAGTAAATGCCCTAGCTGATGTAGTAGAGAGGGATGTTTCGGGGACACAGGGAAAGGGAATCCAAAGTACTTGCTGACTGAGGCACTAAGAACTCAAAGGAGGGAGGCATCTAAAAAGCTTTCATGGCTTATGTTCAAGGACTTGGGAGGATGAGACACACATTTAGAGATGGAGTGAAGGAATTCAATTTGTTCATTTTGAATCTGAGATGTTACAGGAAAGATGTCTATTTAGAAAAATATACTCAGTTGGACACAAGGGTTCAGAGATAGGGAATGAGGGGTCAGATTATGTAATTACTTACATTCAAATGGGTTACTGGAAAAGTCTAAAAGGCAGGGAGTCCCTAAACTCAAGACCATGTTTGCAACATACTCTAGATACTAGGTGCAGGTCCTTCTGCATTAAAACTAATTTCTTTCTTTCTGTCTGTCTGTCTGTCTATCTGTCTGTCTCTCCATCTCTCTCTTTTCTTTCTGACAGGATTTCTCTGTGAAACAGTCCTGGCTGTCCTGGAACTTATTCTGTAGACCAGGTTGGTCTGAAACTCACAGAGATCCACCTGCCTCTGCCTCCCAAGTGTTGGGATTAAAAGCAAGTGCCACCACTTCCCATCAAAACTAAGTTCTTTAGTTAGGCAATCAGTCACTTCCAGTTCTTTTTAATTACAGGAGCCAATGATAATCTTGATCTTGTAATTTTATTGCTCTAATCCAATAACCTAATAGCTTATGCCATGAAACAGGATCTGGACTCAGGTAGAGGAAGAAAAGAGAAGGAAGACTCAGCTGACCGTCGGAACAATTCAAGAGTCAGTCATTGAAGAACAAAGATAAAACATGACCTTTTCAGATGTTGAAATTTTAGCAATGGTAAAAATAAATGAGCCATAGCTTCAGGGAACAGATGCATTTTGGGAAAATGTTAAGTTAAAAAAAAGGTAAGCCCAGGAAAACTATGGCATATCATTTCATTTCTTTCTTTCCTTTCTCTTTTTTTAAAAGATTTACTTATTATGTATACAACATTCTGCCTTCATATATGCCTGCAGGCCAAAGAGAGCACCAGGTCTCATTACAGATGGTTGTGAGCCTCTGGAAGAGCAGCCAGTGCTCTTAACTGCTGAGCCACCTCTCCAGCTCCAGCATACCATTTTCATAAAATTCAAGATAAAGTTTTAAGTAATATATTGCTTATGAGCTCAAACTGTTAAGATATTTTAAAAAACAAGTGAATGAGAAACACAAATTTTAGGCTAGTGCCTATCTGGCAGGGTATGGGGAATTTGAAAGTAGACATAAGTGGCTTTAACAGTATTAACAACATTGTATTTCTTAGATGGATACTAGACTTATTTCATGACTTACACTTTATATATACATTGTTATTTTTTATTTATTTATTTTTTGGTTTTTCAAGACAAGGTTTCACTGTAGCTTTGGAGCCTGTCCTGGAACTAACTCTTGTAGACCAGGCTGGCCTCGAACTCACAGAGATCCACCTGCCTCTGTCTCCCAAGTGCTGGGATTAAAGGCATGGGCCACCACTGCCTGGCATGTATATTGTTCTTTATATGCTTTCTTTCCTTGTAGAGCTGTAGATGAAGCCTGCTGTTATGTTTTTTTTTAAATATTTATTTATTTATTTATTTATTTATTATGTATACAATATTCTGTCTGTATGCCTGAAGGCCAGAAGAGGGTGCCAGACCTCCTTACAGAGGGTTGTGAGCCACCATGTGGTTGCTGGGAATTGAACTCAGGACCTTTGGAAGAGCAGGCAATGCTCTTAACCACTGAGCCATCTCTCCAGCCCCCTGCTGTTATGTTTTATACATTCAAATATACCAAGCACTATAAACCCTTAAAGTAATTTAACTTAGTTTAATCCTTAAGCATGACCCTTTCCCGATAAAGCAGCATATTTATTGTGGAATCTTACCTCCCCACAAATACAAGGCCTGGTGGTGTTGGCGCATGCCTTTAATTCTAGCACCTGGGAGGCAGAGGCAGACAGACCTCAGTGAGTTCGAAGCCAGCCTGGTCTACAGAGCGAGTCCCAGGATAGCTAGGACTGTTACACAGTCTCTCTTGGAACTAGCTCTATAGATGAGGTTGGATTCAAATTCACAGAGATCTGCCTGCTTCTGGAGTGCTGGTATTAAAGGCATGTGCTACCACACCTAGTTAAGGGGTACATTTTAATAGACTAAAACATTAAAAATAATGTACAAGTTATATAAATGGAAAAACAGAAAAAAGGTAATAAACAAAAATACACAAGAGAAAAAAATAGATGAATAATAACAAACCAAATGCTAATAAGAATACTAAATGAGCCGGGTGGTGGTGCATCCCAGCACTCGGGAGGCAGAGGCAGGTGGATCCCTGTGATTTTGAGGCCAGTCTGGTCTACAGAGTGAGGTCCAGAGCTGTTACACAGAGAAACTCTGTCTCGGAAAAAAGAAAAAAAAAAGAATAATAAAGCTGGGCACACTGGTGGCACACATCTTTAATCCCAGCACCTGAGAGGCAGAGGCAGGTGGATCTTTGTGAGTATGAGTCCAGCCTGAAACCTATCTTCAAAAACCAAAAGATAGAAATGCAGAGTTTTTTTTTTTTAACACCCATAAACTAGAAAAAGCATAAAATAATCATGCAATCTAAAAACTTTTGTTGGAACAATTTCTTGCAGTAATATTTAAAAAGTATATGACAGACTTCATCAAATATTCAAAGCAAGAGAAGATACTTACAAAATCATCTCCTGAGTCAGCTCCCATAGAGGCCACAGACTCCTTGCTCACAGATCTTGGAATTCTATTCGTGCCTCCTGGCCTCTGAGCAACAGCAGTCTCTTCTGCGATTTTCTTCTTTAGTTTTGCAAACATTTTGCTATGTGGCTATCTTGCAGAGACAACTAATTCCTGAACTCCTCAGTGAATGGAATGATGACACAGGTACCTACAGAGGTTCAGGCCTCCAGTCTAGCTGCATCCCACTTAAATCCAGGCCAAAGAATTTTGGCAACACAGTATCTATAAATCAGATGAAAGAGATAGCTCCAAGTTAAACACTGGACAGATTTCACATCTCAGTTGCCATATTAAGTTTCAGGTTTCAAAAGTAGTTTCATAGTAAGTACACATACACACATGCACGCGCACACACACACACACACACGAACACGATTATTAAACACTTCAAAAGCACTCAGGCATGTTACTTTCATACGTGGGTACTGAAAGAGGCAGAATAACCTGCCAAGGACTATGTGGCTAAGTTACAGGGCTAGTATCTGAACACAGCTCTCTGACTCATAAATCTCAACTTTTTGTTTTTAGAACACTACATTGCATGTAGTAAAATTTCCAGGCTAACACCATGCAATCACGACTTAATGCTTTTGAATCTTCTAATAATATGTTTACTAAGAATTTAGTGCTTTTTCTCTGTACGTCAAACATACACACAAAATTAAGAAGATACAAAATATGCAACTAAATTCCTGAATTTCAATTAAATGCTTCCTCCTAGAGTGGGAAAAAAGTCACAACCTAGAAATGCAGACTACATATAGTCATGAGGTCCTCCCATCTGTATGGACATGTTGCGGTTTTCTGTGCTCCAAAACATGACTCCAAACTACAATATCTTTTCTTCCTATATGACATTTGAGATTAAACAATTCTTTCCTCTCAATGGTAACTAAAACATTACTGGTGGTGCAGGCCTTTAATCTCAGGAGAGGCAGAAAGATGTCTCTGATTTCAAGATCGACACAGCAAGTTCCAGACCAGCTAGGGCTGCAAAATGAGATCTTATTCCAAAAAGAAAACAAAGCTAATTTCTATCGTTCTGTTTCAGTTTTAACTTTTAATATCTCGTGACAGATACACTCTGCTGTAAGATGACAGAAGATTGCTTACTACTTCAGATTATTATCTATCATGTCTATAAAATCCTTCAAAAACTTTTCCAGTATCTGTAAGTCATTGCACTCACCTGTTTTATCTACTATATTTAAAACTGTCTGGAGGTCAAAGTCACTGACTGCCCTGTGTGAAAACAAAGATAAAACAGGTTGTATATTTCAATTACAAGACCAAAACGTTCATCGAGGGCGGTACGAAAGAAAGGTGGTTGGGATGACTTAAATGGGCGAAACACTTTGTCATTATTGTACAGCTGTCAGGAGGATGCCCCTCAGTCCCTATGAATAGCCTAAGTTTCACTTACAAGCAGAAAGAATTTCTCACAGCATTAGGTGTCTACATTAATTTCTTCCTAGGAGCAGTAAGTAAAACAGCGTGAATTAGTTGAAGGCTTCCAAGAGACAGTATTTCTCAGCTGATTCTCAAACACAGCGTTTACCTGGTCAGACCTGGTAGTCTGGTCCCTGAGTCCCGACTCGCACTAACTCACTGGAGCAAAGTTCTGACAGATGCTTAAAGGTTCAGAGATGCCGGCCACCGTAATTTGGATCCCACTCCCTCTGGCTCGCTCCGGAGCCACGTCCTTTATAAGGCTGTCAACCAAGGGAGGGACCCAACCTGTTTGACAACAGGAAGATTGCGTCCCAGAAAGAAGTGGTGACCTGAGTAAGGTCGCAGGGTGTCTCGACCCCCAGGACTAGGGGACCGCCTCCGCCCCCACCCAACCCTGAGCACTCCAGCACCACCCCCACCCCTGGGTCGGGGTCCACCGCGTCCCCGCCCGAGGCTACGGAAGGGAGGCCTACTTGCGTCCTGGAGCTCCGGTAGCTTACTTACTGCTTTTGGGGCAGCCAACACAGCCCCGCCTCCGCGGACTCTCGAGGGCCTGGGGAACGTCACCAGCCCCCACCTCTGCACAGCAAGCAGGGCACCAACCCGGAACCGCACATTTGCCGCGCGCCGGAAGTGGCTGCGCGTCGGCAGCGCTCTCCGCTCGCGCATGCGTCCATATGCGACTTTGTGGCGAGCCAGCTAGGTTCTTGGGCCGTTGGGCTGGAACGGCTACTGGGAGAGGGCGCTTCTACCTTGGCTGTCCGGCCACGTCAACAAGGGCAGGACTGCAGATCGCAACCGGGCTGCCCTCGACAGCAAAGAACTTCGCTTCTAAGTGGGAGGAGCCCCGTGGCTGACGAGGCCCCGGAGCGGGCGGTACTCGAGGACCGGTCTCTAGGCTACAGGAAACTCCTCCAAAAACTAGAGTGCACCTAGCACATTGTGACTTGGGTTTTAACTTTAGCGCCCCAGTTTTTGTCAATCATTCATTTCATACAAATGAAGGAAGTTTCTAGATTCTTATTATCCTTGTTCTGCCTAAGACTTCCACAGTCCTCAATTCCAAACCAAGTATTCTACATATTAGAGGACCCAGTCCTGCCTGAGGCAGCATCAGCCCAAGGATTTGTTGATTCCATCTATTTTTCCACTTTTCCCCATGTCCAGTTGTAGCCACCAGGCAGGGATAAAACAAAATCAGTACTCTCAAATCTACAAAGGAGCATTATAAGCGTGAATCACTAACTCAAGAAAACAGCTAAAAGCGCCTGAGGTATAACTCCAAACATGGCAATAACTGTCAACAATACTAAAGAAACACACAAAACTTTAAGCAAATAATGTTTATTTTTTGTATTGATGATACACTTAATATATACGCGATTCAAGATATAAAATTCATTTACAAGAGTTCACACTTAATGAATGTATACACATTCCTAGAGAATATTTATCAATGCAAAGTTCTTTATTACACTGACCACAAAACCCAAATAGTCTTTAATTTTGTTATTTAGCAAACATCAAAACAACATTTTATTTCCCATCCTCTAGTATTTAAGTGCCCTCAGTGATAGGCACTGTGTAACAGGAAAGCACATTGCAACGCCTACAGAATCTGCTCTGCAGAATCACAGTGTTTACTCTGAAATTCATGTAGTATAGAAGTGAAAGGCTCACATCCTGCACAACAAATTACACAAGGGTCAAGCGATCAACTCAAGAAAATGTTTAAGAACTTGTCAATATGTAAAGTCTCTAAAAACGTTAATTGTAACAGACAAAAGCAGGGAATGACTGCTGGGAAGAAACAAAACAAAAGAGAAAACCTAAGAGAATGTATACTTTCACCAACTTAGAAACACCAACAGACAAGACTTTTACAGCAACACAAATGTTCAAGGCAAATGATACTGACAATATAATTGTCCCTTAATATTATAGTCTTCAAAATCTACCATTAACACATAAACTTTGTGAATCGAACAATTTACTGTATAACAGAGCTAGCTGATTGACAGGTTTATTCTAAAGTATTAAGTCACAATACCCCATTTTAATACAAATGAGCAAGACTGTCTCAAGGATGTAGGGATCTGTGAACAACTAGATAGACAACCGGTTAGCTTGGTTATGTGCACGACGGAGAGCACTTGGATAAGGATTGTTACATGAAAATTGTTGTGCTTCACCTCTTGAGAGCTAATAAATATAACTCTATAATTCCTACAGTGTTACAATTCTATAACATTTCAGTTACAGACAAGCACATTTTTAAAATAAAGTGTTTCATATTACTATAAAGTCAAGTATAGTTTCTGCTATGATTTCAACAAGTGCATTTCTGACTAACATAATGTAGACAATAGATTCACCATAATTTTTAGGGTAAAGAAGATCAAACAACTTTAAAAAATTCTTGCTTGATTAAATTAACTTTAGTGATACTTTGAATAAAGCTAACTGACAGTTAAATGGAAACTGCTCAGAAAGTATCAAAGTTCTGTGACATTCTACTAATCCTCACAGCAAAGTAAAATAAACTATGTCTAAGTACTTCGTGTGATTCAGTGACAAATGCAACTACTACTTATATTGGTGCCACAAAATGAGCGTAACTTATCTGGGGAAATTCCTTCCCTTGTCATCTCTCCTAAGAACGTGCTAGGACACTTATCTGCATTTCTTAGTATGTAGACCTTTCTGCCTCTATTGAAAGAATTCCATAACATACAGGACTCCAGCCGAAAAAAAAAATAAAGCTTATTTTTGAAAAATGAAAAAGAAAAGTAACAACAAAAGCCACAAAAACCAAGTTCTGAATTACTGTACTGAACCACACAATGTAATTTAATGAGAATTGAGAATTATTAAAAAAAACAATTCTCCAGGAAACAGTAACAAAACTTATTATGGTATGACACTTTAATTTTTTTCTCTGAAGATTTTAAATATACCACTGCACACTTTTAACTTAGAGAAAATCAATGGCATGCAAAAGAGGATGGGGGTTAAAATATTGAAAACATACAGTGGCGTTTCTCTGTGGTTCGGAAATGTTTACTGGGGAAGGAGTAACATCATTTAACATTTTATAATGTTTATTTTTGGGGGGTGGGGAGTTTTGAGAGAGTTTCTCTGTGTAGCCTTGGTTGTCCTGGAACTAGGCTCCAAAAGCTACAGAGAAACCCTGTCTTGAAAAACAAAAACCAGCAATCAAGAAAGGAACATTTTAAAATTATGAAATGGTATTACAGTTCTGAATAATTAACAGTGCTTAATAAAAATGTAACTATAGCTGGGCACCGGTGGCGCAAGCCTTTAATCCCAGCACTTAGGAGGAGGCAGAGGCAGCAGATCTCTGAGTTTGAGGCCAGCCTTGTCTACAAAGCGAGTTCCGGACCGTCACACAAAGAAACCCTGTCTCAAAAAATTAACAGAAAAAAAAAGTAATTGTATACTGATTTTCACCTATGAAAACATAGTTACAGAATTCCAAAGAAAATACTTCTTCTATAGTATCAAATTAATTATACTTAATACATCTATGCTTTGGCTGGAGAGATGGCTCAGAGGTTATGAACACTGGCTGTACTTCCAGAGGTCCAGAGTTCAATTCCCAGCAACCATATGGTGGCTCACAGCCATCTGTAATGAGATCTGGTGCCCTCTTCTGGCCCGCAGGCACACATGCAGGCAGAACACTGTATACATAATAAATAAATAAAAAAAATACATTGATGCTTACCTAATCACATATTCTCCTGTATCACTACTTTCCTGTAGGCAGGCGTTTATCACATCCACAGATAAATTATTCTCCACTAAATACAAAGCATGTTGAAAATTAACTTCTGTGTTCAAAGAACTCAGGGAAAATGAGACTAACAGAGATTTATGTTTGGAAGGTTTAGTCTAAGGATGATAAATCACCTTTTTATTTTCATTAAATTAAGTGGTCCCAGTTCTCAGGAAAGACTCAGAGTTGACTCTGTATACAATATCAGCTCACACGCATTCAAGAGAATGTGGGGAAAAGGGTTGGTTTTCTCAACAATTTGTATTTTATTCAACTGCAAAGTTATCAGCTTTGTAACTGTTTGGGACAAAACAGGCACAACATCAACCTTACTTTCTATGCTTAATATATATATATACATATATATGTATATATACATACATATACATATATATGTATATATACACATACATATATATGTATATATATATTTAAGTGTATGCGTGTTTTGCCTGCATGTATGTCTATGCGTCACAGAGGCTAGAAGAGGCTGTCAGATGTCCTAGAACTAAAGATTGTGAGCAGCCATGTGTGTACTAAGAATGACATTTAGGTCCTGTAAGAGGCCTCTTAGCCAGGCATGATGTGGTGCATGACTTTAATATCAGCACTCAGGAGGCTGAGGCTGGAGGAACTCTGTGAGTTCAAGGCCAGCTTAGTCTATATAGTAAGCTCTAGGACAGCCAGTACAACATAGAGAGTCTGCCTCAAAAAAGCAAAACAAAAACAAACAACAAAAACTAAAAAGGTGCTCTTAACTGCTGAGCCATCCCACCAGCCCCTAGTTTCATGAAGTTTAAACGACACATGATCTGCCACCTGCTAAAAGGTTTGGACGCTTAACCAACGTGAGAGCCTGTGAACATTTTTTTTTTAAGGATTTCTCAGAAATAACACATTAATGCATCTTAATATATTTTAAGAAAAAGATAACCAAGAGTATAATTGAAAAGTATTATGACTAACTAGCTGCTTTATTTTAGAAGTGGTAGAACTGACTTGAATTAATTTTTTAATGTAATAATAAGAGAGATTTGTTTATTTGAAGAATGGAGTAGAAAGCTGTCTTGCAGTTACAGTTTACAATGTAGAAATAACTCTACTCTTCTCAGTGAATGTACAGAAGTGTGTTTAGATGCCCTTTATATTCATTCATGCAGACACTCTGCTGATCCCCAACATTCACAGTCTGGCATTGTACACGTTTTCTGTAATTTTACGGTCTTCAACACCATTATTCCAAGTCTTTCTGTTAGGATATTTGAGACAGGGTCTCCTGTAGCCCACACTGTTCCTCAACTTCCTATGCAGCAGAAGCTGGCCTTGAACTCGATTAGGATCTCCTTCTCCCTAGAACTGGGATTACAGATGCACCTTTGTCACACACCGTGCTTAATTGAGAGCCTCTCAGGCACTTCATATTAAGAAATCTACTTCTAGTGTGAATGTATGGTCAAAATGTAGAGGAAGCAAGGTGGTGGGCAGAGGCAGGCAGCTCTCTGAGTTAGAGGTCAGCCAGGGCTACAGAGAGAAACCCTGCCTCAAACCAAACCAAATACAAATAAAAATATAAAGCAAAAGTATTTCCAGAGATCTCAGCAATGAAAGTGGAGGCACTGAATTTGCTGGAAGCATTTTTTCAGATGAACAGACTCACCTTTGATATGCAATACCAAAAAAAAAAAAAGTCTACTTAAGCAGACACCGCTACAGACACACACAAATCAACAACCCAGCTCCCCTCTGTCCAGCCTACCGAGGTTTGGCCTTCCTTAGCGAATGCCCCTTCTTCTGCCTCAGAGACACATATAGAATGATTATATTCATGGGAAAAAATTCAAAAATTAAAAATTAGCATCAGATATTGAATGGCTTAAAAGTCATTTCCTATTTCTAACAGCTCCTAAAGTCCTAATATAAACAATCTTCTACTCAGTAGTAACACTCAAATATGGGCTTAAAAAAATAAAGGACTAATAAAGATTAAGATTCCGCTGGTGTCTCAGTTCACAAACTTAGGTTTTCAGGTTTCTAGTAAATTTATCAATTTAAATTGAAGTTGGCAAATGAATTTAAAGCTGAGAATAGGCAGTTTTTTCTTAACATCTTCATATCCTAATTTCAACTCCAAAGGAGCCCATCTTATCCCAACACAAGCCCCTTAAAATTGAGGCTTGTGAATGAGATCCAGCCACAACCTAATTATAGTAGCATGAACAATGCCACTCTGATGTCCTCACAGAACTAAAATAAATTCAGCCCACAATGGGTATGGGTATATAATATACACACACTGTATATAACTGCATACCAAGATATTTACAGATATATACACACATATACAAAGTTTAGAGAGATTGCATTTAGCATCACAAAAATATACACATGCCATTAAAAATAAGGATTTCAAATAAATAAGTTCAAAAAAGAGCCCTAAACCTAAATACTCTTTGAATTCTCCAAAAATAAACAAGAGAACAGAAATCACTCCCAAATTACCAGGAAACTCAAGGCATTCAGATTCATAGTCTTATACTCACACAGGGCGGACAGATGATTCTGGAGGGGCCAAGTTTCCAGACACTGGCACCTTAATGTGTCTCTAGTCCAGAACATTCTCTGGTTATTGGGGTGATTACATGTCTCCATGGATAAGTGAGACTTTTCAACTATCTTGAAGCCTTTGCTCAGACACAGACAGACTGGACTTGAACGCTAGAGAAGGGTCTGTAACTGCCTCAGGAGTCTGACTTGGACTTCTCCCTGGACATTAATGAGATTCAGTACCATTACCCAGATAAGGGAATTCTACTGCATGTCAGAGGAGAAAAAAATAAAAATCAAATTCCACACCCAAACCCCAAGTCAGGAAAACCTCAAGATCAAATTACACCTCAATTCCAAAACTGTGAAACATTTTAACATTGTTAAAAAATATAAAGGGCACAATCAATTCTGTGCTTTGAAAGGTCCCGAGAGCACCACTTCCTTGGAAGGAAATATTTACACAAAGATATACCCTGACTGAAATCAAAGAAAGAAACATCTGATTTTATAATTGATAAAAATGTGTTGAGGTGAATGATTCACCGGCATGAATATCCACTGTACCGGGAATTACACACAGGGCTTGGCAGATGCCAGGTAAGGATGACTGAGCCTCATCCTAATGGGTTTCAACAGCCAATACGTGAGAATCTTAATTTTTATATTAATATAGCTCTAAAATTTTCCCTCTTGTTCATGACAGAAAGAAGCCTGAGCTAGGGGAGAGGGGGCTGAGATGAGATCGTGTTCTCATAGCTCTATCACTGGATAACGAGCAGCTTCTAACACCTCAGTTTTCTCTTCTATAAAACAGGATGGTGACTGCCCTGTGTAAGAAATGTATGGAGACAAAGAAAGTCCTATTGTGCTTCACCTTGCTTTGTGTGCAACAGGTCTCTCGCACCCATCTCTTTGATGCTTTTTAGTTGGTTTACAGTGATTCTTTGTTTGTGTTTCAAGACAGGTTCTCTGTGTAGTCCTGGCTGTCCTGGGACTTGCTCTGTAGACCAGGATGTCCTTGGATCTCAAAATCTGCCTTCCTTTGCTTCCTGAGTGCTGGATTAAAGGTGTGTGCCACCACCGCCTGGTGTTTGCAGTGATTTTTAAGAGATTGGCAATATAGGCTGAGCGGTGGTAATGCACGCCTTTAATCCCAGCACTTGGGAGACAGAGGCAGGTGGATCTCTGTGAGTTAGCGGCCAGCCTGGTCTACAGAGAGAGTGCCAGGACAGGCACCAAAGCTAGAGAAATCCTGCCTCAAAGAGAGAGAGAGAGAGAGGAAACTTTACTAGAATCTATAGCAAGATTTGTGCAATTTGACTAAAAAAAATGTTGCTTCTTCAGCTTTGCTGTTTTTAGTTCCAATATTTAAGTTTTCATAAATTCTAAGATTAAACAGAGCTTATGTACACGCAAATCTGTTTTTGTGATGGGGTCTGATGTAGCCCAGGCTGGTCTAGAGCTCACTCTGTATGGCTAGGGTGGCCTTGAACTCCTGATGCCCTGCCTCTAAGTGCTGAGAATGGAAGCCAGGGCTGTGTGCACTCTACGCAAGGCTCTACTACTACGCCACAATCTTTGTCTTCAAGGCAAGGATCTTTAAGTCTTCTCTGCTTGCATTCCAAGTGCCATAAACAAAGTGTGGTGCACAGCAGCTGTACAATACATGTTTTTTTTTTTTTTAAAGCACAGATTAAAAAAAGCTTTAAGTTTCCTACTGCAGATTTGCTCTCAGGAGATTCAATTATTATTGAGATGGACTTCTGCTATACTCTAGGTTAGCCCTGACCTTGTAACCCTCCTGCTTTAGCCTCCTGTGTACTGGGATTATAGACACACATCACCACATCCAGTTCAGAATTGTTTCTACTATTTTTCTTTGTTTGTGAATTTTTTTTCCTCCCTAGTTATGGAAACCAAGCTCAGAATTTCTCAGTATTTGCTAAACACTGACACTACAGCCTTAGTTCTGGTCTACTTAGATCTTTAGCCACCAGTTAGGAGCTGCATTACTGTTAGTTTAAGGGCCCTTGCTATAATAATCTATATTTACACTGTGATCTCTAAGACACACATATTTCATATATCATGGAAGGTCTGATTTTTCCAGGACAATCTCTTTAAGCAAGTCTTAAAGCAGCTAAGTAGGACCTATAACTTTTTTTTAAAAATCTTATTAAACATGATACAAAAAGGATGTTATAGTGCCAAAAACACACAAATCAACTTTTCTGGAATGGGGAGGAAATCAACATATTTGGAACCAAGGCTCCAAACTGCAGAGTCACAGACAAGAATAGGACCTTGGGTTAGTGACTGTATTCTATACAGAAGAGCGCTAAAAAGCAGACACATGAAGTTATTTGTCAAAGGGCATCATGCTAGTTACTAAACAAGCCAGGATCAGAACTCAGACCTTGGTTTTGAATCTAGTGGTTCTTATGTTTAGCAGAAAAGGATTAAACACAGGACAGGGAACAGTAAAGTGTGTGCTGTAAGCACAGCACTTAAGGAAACTGGACCAGAGGCCAGGCAGCTAATGAACATCTATTGCTATAGTCCAGGAGAAGAGTTAGGGGAGGAAAACCATGATATATTATGGTTTATTTGAGACAGGGTTTCTCTGTATTGTAGTCTTGGCTGTCCTGGAACTTTCTCTGTAGACCAGGCTGGCCTTGAACTCACAGAGATCCGCCTGCCTCTACCTCCCAAGTGCTGGGGTTAATGGTGTGTGCCACCCCCGCCCACAAGTAGACTTTTTAAAAAGAAAAACCAACACCTGGAAAGGCTCTATCCAGAGAGTAACTTTTTCTAAGCTTTTAAAAATACTGAATGAAAGAACAAAACAACAATTTTAAAAAGAAATGAACTATCCCAAGCTCCCAACCTAACCATAACTCGGAGTTCACGTACTCAGTGTGCTGAAGCTGAAAGAGCTACAATCTACACTCAAGTGATGCTCTAGGGGAGAGGAGGGAACCAGGTTAAAACACCTCATAACCATTTCCTCAGGGACACAGGAAAGATGTGCTGAAAAGAGCTACCTCATTTCTCCAGGAACTGCCAGGATTAGATCATGAACCTACACAGAAAATAGGGAGAAGGTCTTGTGATTCTTGCATTTCTGAGCTTAAATGCCATACAACCCAAAGAAGCCAAGATGGAAGGAATCTTCACAGCTAGTACCTTTGAGATTATGAAGGAGATGGAGGGGCAGAACACATAAAAACCTTTACATTACATACTGAGTCCTATTTAAAATAATAATAAAAACTTGCATATTAATATAAAATTAAGAAAACACAAAGTTTTAATATCTTATTTCCAAACTGTCAAAGCAAAATTAAAATGAACTCATGATTTGCTTTCCTAACGCCCAGTTATCCTCAACTCACACTAATAGTATCTCTGACACAGATGCCTTGGAAACTCGAATATGAAAAGGAACAAGAAACTGTGTAGTGACTATACCAATGAATAAATCAAGACACTATTTAAAGCCAAATACTGTCGATGAAGTCTATGTAGAAATCCTACTGGACACAGTGCAAGATTATGAAACCAACAACTTGATTTTTGGTTGAAATATTTAAAAGTATTTTCCTTTGTATTTCCAGCATTCACGACCATAAAGAAAATAAAATATACAAACAAATCTCATGATAATAGTATTCACATTCTAAGTAAGGTCTGTCAACCTCAAAGTTCCAATTGAAGATTTAATTTCCAGATATAAATCAGCCCTAAACAGATTATAAAAATCTGACAACTTTGATGAAATTCATCAATCTCAAGAAATCCCTTTGTCCATCATTTTCCTGCCTATCAGCATGGAGTGAGAAGAAACTCTACAGAAGGGCGTGGCTCTTGACTTTCAGTAGTCCATGTGGCCAGTTTCATCACTATGGACAGTTAGATATTTCTCAAATCCAGACATTTAAATGTCCAAGTATAACTTCTGGATTGTCCTCATTATGTAAAAAAAATAAACAATTTTTTCTTCTTAGGGAGGCAATAGTACCTATATGAATGTAGGATTAGATGTTGGAGGTAAGTATATAATGTCAAAACCAAAAATAAAAATTTCAAGATTGAGACTTTAAAAGATTTGAAACATTATGTTTTAAAAGTTACCCTAAAAGTTTGAACTTTTTTCAGTTTATTTTTAAAATGGTGGTTCCTAAGTTTACAAATAAAAACTGAATAATGGTCTCTGTCATCACATAAAAACTGCACCGTTTAAACCTGTGGAAGATGAAAGAAGTTAAACAAGAGGGTTTTAATAGTCGTGCATGGGATTCTCAAAGAAGATATTGCGAACATCCAGAATGGAGGCCAATTCTAAAATATGCTTCTGAAGGTGAGGGTTCTCCACAGTCTCATCCCTTGGTAGTTGCGGATAGGATTCTGGGTAATTCCGAGTTTCCTGGCAAATAAGGAAAGTCATGTGTCAAAGTCTTATGGGAGGAAACTACCCAGTCTGACAGTATTAAGGAGTAGTTAAATGTTATTATTACTAATATATGTGTTTTTGGTGGTTTGGAACTTTGATTTGTTAACTTTTAGACAGGATTTTGCTATACCTCTAACACATGACAATGTTCAAGTAGGCCTCCTGAGAGCATGATCATATGTGGTTTCTGGGCTGAATTACTAACAAGGGACAATTGTAACCTCTCACAGCTTCATATGGGTGAGCCCAATATATCTGCACACTGAATTATTTCACAATTATTTGTTAACCTCTATGACTGACAGGACCAATACTCTATATACCATCAAAAAATCCATACAAATCCTGAGGGATCCACACATAGAATTTTTTTAAAAAAAAAACAAAACAACAAACCACTCATTTCATGAATAAAAAATGCTGCAGTAGAAATCAAAATGAGTGAAAAGGCAAAATCTAAAATAAAAACTCTTAGAAGAAAACAGAGAAAACCTTTGTAAGCTTAGAACAGATAAGATTTCTTAGGAACCTGAAGAAAAAAAGAGAACCTGATCTCCTGAACATTTCAAGCCTTTGTTACTGTTAAAAAACAAACAAACAGGGCTAGAGAGATGGCTCAGAGGTTAAGGACACTGCCTGTTCTTCCAGAGGACCTGGGTTCAAGTCCCAGCACCCAGATCGCTGTTCATAACTGTTCTGTAGACCTGGTTCCAGGGGATCTGATATCTTCACACCAATTCACATAAAGTTTAAAAAAAATAAAAAAGGGAAAAGAAGTTTAGGTTTTTTTTTTTTTTTTTTGGTTTTTCGAGACAGGGTTTCTCTGTGGTTTTTGGAGCCTGTCCTGGAACTAGTTTTGTAGACCAGGCTGGTCTCGAACTCACAGAGATCCGCCTGCCTCTGCCTCCCGAGTGCTGGGATTAAAGGCGTGCACCACCACCGCCCGGCTGGAAAAGAAGTTTATAAAACAAACAACAGCCACAAAAACAAGTAGCAAACTCAAGACAGCTGGCAAGCAGATGGAACGATATTTAGCACCATTGCTTGTGAGTAAAATGGAGATTGGAATCACTTGGTTAGAATGTAGGTCTGATGGCACCCAGTGCATCTAGGTATACAAGCAACTTTCATACTTTATCATGGGAGTGTTAATAACCTGCTTTGAGAAAAGGTTTGGCAGTTTCTTGATGTGAGATTCCCCTCTGTATGCTGTGAATTGTGAATATCATTGGTTAATAAAGAAACTGTCTTGAGTCTCTGATAGGGTAGAACAGAGTTAGGTGGGGAAAACTAAACTGAATGCTGGGAGAAAGAAGGGCAGAGTTGGAGAGAAGCCATGTATCCAGTAAACCACAGTCACATGGTGATTCACAGATTAATGGAGATGGGTTAAATTAAGATGTAAGAGTTAGCCAACAAGAAGCTAGACCTAATGGGCCAAGCAGTGACTCAATTAATACAGTTTTTGTGTCATTATTCTGTGTCTGAGCTGCTGGGCGGCTGGACAACAAACACCTCCCTACAACAATTTCTAGAAATGTAGCACACAACTTCCTGCCAATCAAAAAGTGGGAGGGGCAAGTGGTCCTGAAGTGGAAGACATTCTACAAAGGTGACTCACACTGAAGTCAAACAGTCATGAAAGAAAGACACTAGATCGTGTCAGTGGAGAGGACAAAGAAATAGGAACAGAGGCAGTGATGTCTGAGTTTCCTAATGATTATCTTTGCAGAGATCAAAAAATGAAAACATACTGTGTTGCCACACAAGACAAAAAATTAAGTTGCTGACCAAATGCTACCTAGTGCTGAGCCATCATAAAACAAGACACTTTTATGGGGGCTGGTGAGATGGCTCAGTGGTTAAGAGCACTGACTGTTCTTCCAGAGGACCTAAGTTCAATTCCCAGCAATCACATGTAATGAGATCTAGTGCCCTCCTCTCTTGTGCAGGCAGAACACTGTATAATAAATAAATAAATAAATAAATCTAAAACAAACAAACAAACAAACAAAAAACCCCACAAGACACTTTTTATTAAGATAAAGTCTTTTCTGTATGTGGTGAAATTACAAAAAAAAAAAAAAAATCCAAATCTGTGTGTGAAGACTCCCACGAGCTCTTCTACTTATATTGAAGGGTTTCTCTCATTAGCTAATGACTTGCAACTGCCCAGGTGATCACTGACAGTAGAATAATGGATTACTACTCAGCAGTAAAAAGAACTAAGTGGCGCTGGAGGCACAGCTCAGTGCTCCACTTGTTGCTCTTGCAGAGGACCTGGGCTTGGTTCTGAATATCCACATGGTGGCTCAAAACCATCCAAAACTCCAGTTCCAGGGGATCTGGTGATATCTTCTTGCTTTTGTGGGCACCAGGCATGCATGTGGGGCACATATACAAATGCAACAAAACACTAATACATATAAACAAAACAACACCAAAAAAACCCTAAAAATAATGAAAAAGAAACAAGCTAGTGATAAAAAAAAAATGTGCCAATCTTAGTAACAGCTTAACACAAGATTCTATCCAATCTATCATGTTCATAAGGCAGTTTAAAAAATATCATACATGTAGATCATGATGTAGTGCTTGTAGACTCACTGGAAGGGTGTTGTATGGCTCAGTAGAGGTTGTATTTACAATAACACAATGTATTAACCATATAGTAAAGGTCGATTTCAACTTTGTGTGTTTTACTGTAAGCATGCATAGTGGGGCATATCTATAATCCTGGCACTCAGGAGGCTGAGGCAGGAGGACAGAAGTTCAAGGCCAGCCCGGACTACATAGTAAGACTGTATCAATTATACAAAACCAAACTGGAAATAAAATCAAAGTATGTGGCAGAATATTCTGAAACTAAAATCATTTTAAAAATTAAAAAACTGTATGTACATACATATGTATATATCATAGAACCCTTAATGTTGCATACTAAAGTAATAAATGCAATGAATAACATTCAAAACAAAAACCATGAGTACCAGGTTGGTGAAGACTCAGTCCAGTGCATCACCGAGCCCTCATCAGAGAAACTTCTTTTGGTAGATGATGTAACATGAAGACCTACAACTGGACAATGTGCAGAGAATGGGGCTGTGGAGCACTCAGCTCTAAATAGGATGTCTTCATCAAACCCTACCCCCAGGGCTCGGGGTGTATGCAAAAGAAGAGGTGAAATGATTAGAAGAGCCGGTGATGGTGACCACAAGGAAACAGTCAGGGTGGTGCACTTCTGAACACAGATATTGACGGCATGCAGAAGACCAGCACAGGTACAAACCAGACAGACTCCCAACACCAACCAAGAAGGATTTGCAATTGATACCACTGGAGAAAGAAAAATCAGTTTTCTACAATGTAGTGTCATTGGGTTTATCAATCACACTCCAGGGCAGGCCCCATGCCCAAGAGTAGTTGGCCAACATAAAACATACTCTGTGTGTTATTTCTTTTGTCTACACACTCTGTGTGTTATTTCTTTTGTCTTACTGGTTTTTGGTTTTTTTTTTTTAGATTTTTTTCTTCTCTCTCTCTCTCTCTCTCTCTCTCTCTGAGACAGAGTTTCTCCGTGTGACCTTGGTTGTCCTGGGACCTTGCTCTGTAGGCCAGGCTGGCCTGAACTCAGAGATTCACCTGCCTTGGCTTCTTGGGTGCTGGGATTACAGGTGTGCACAAACTACCATCTCATCATTATATAATAATAAACACCTGGAGGCAATCCAAATGTCCATTATTGGTAGAATGTGTAAGGAAATGAGACACAGCCAATACCAAAGAATGAACATCATAATCACATGGCTCAACTGCAGCCATACGCCATACATACACATACATACACATACATACACATACATACACATACATACACATACATACACATACATACACATACATACACATACATACACATACATACACATACATACACATACATACACATACATACACATACATACATATGCATATACATGGATGTATTTAAATCATTTTCCCAGTGGTGCTGCTGAGTGACCTCAGGACTTGTGCACGCTAAGTGGGCACCCTACCATTGAGCTACATCTCCAGCTCTCAGAACACTACTGATGAAAATAAACCAATGTAAATCCATTTATATACTTTTTCTTTTTTGATTTTTTTGAGACAGGTTTTCTCTGTGTAGTTCTGGCTGTTCTGGAACTTGCTCTGTAGACCCAGCTGGCCTCAAACTCCATGATCTGCCTGCTTCTGTTCCTCATTGGAATTAAAGGTGTGTAACACCACTGCCTAGCAACAAGGTTTTAACAAAAGGTGAATGATCACAACACTTGGCTATCAGCTGCATTTGAGGAGAGATTTGGTAGGACCCACAGCAGTCTTCCCAAGTAAAGAAAGTTAAAAAAAAAAAAAAGAGAGAAAAGAAAAAGAAGACAAGTGTCTCATATATCCCAGGCTGGCCACAAACCCATGAGGTAGCCAATGGTGACCTTGAACTTTGACTCTACTTTTCAAGTGCTAAAAATACAGGGAGCTAACGAAAATGTTAACCTTTTTCTGTTTCTTTTAGCTTCTAGAGACAGGATTTGCCTGAGCCTACCAAATACTGGGATTCTTAGCATGCACCGCCATGCCCATGATACGCTCATTATAATGCCATACACGTTTTCTTCTGAATATTATTCTGAATCTATTTAAACTTTATTTAGTGTAAGTAAAATAGAATACATGACTAACAATAATGGATCAAAATGGTAAACTTGATCTTTAGTGATTCACTGCCTACCCGAAAGGCCTTGTGCATCCTCATGGTGGCTGAACAGAAGACAAACCTTGTGAGAAGCAATCGAAGAAACTCATCTCCAAAAAACTGGAGAAAGGCCTGATCTGCAGGGGAAAAGGGGATGGTGAATGCAGGCAATATGAAAACACCACTCCAATAGTGAACTAAGTTAAGGAAAGCCTTTATGACTTTCCTACCTAGGACAATACCTTTAAAAACCCAAACCGTTTATAGTAGGAAACCATTTAAACCACTACAGTAAGCTTTGTTAAGTGTGCAGGTAGATTAGCAGGGTACCTATTGAACGTGAATGGGTCAGTAGCTGGGCAATATCACGGTTGATTTTTCGAAGATATTCTTGACACTTTTCCCACAGGCCTCTACGCATGCTTGACAATCCAGACACAAATAGGAAGGCCATTAGAGGATTGTTCAAAAAGAGAGTGAAGAGGCTACCTCGCTGAGACTGATCTGTAATTACAAACATGTTACATACAGACAAGAGGTTTACAAAGGGTTAGCAGACACAAGAGGAATATCTTAATACACTGATAATGTATAAAATTAAAGCTGGATCAGTAAAGCACAGTTTGACAATGTAAATTCTTCACGAAACTATGAAAATACATCTTAGGCATATTGCTTTTTTTTTTTTTTTGGTTTTTTGAGACAGGGTTTCTCTGAAGCTTTGAAGCCTCTCCTGGAACTAGCTCTTGTAGACCAGGTTGGCCTCAAACTCACAAAAATTTGTCTGCCTCTGCCTCCTGAATGCTGGGATTAAAGGCGTGTGCCACCACTGCCCGGCAGCATACTGCTTTTTGAGTAAAATAAAAACACAGAGGCTCCTTCAATTATAAAATGAGAAGTAGATACCTACCTTCCTTTTTTTTTTTTTGTTTTTTTGTTTTTTTGTTTTTTGAGACAGGGTTTCTCTATAGCTCTGGAGCAAGTCCTGGAACTAGCTCTGTAGAGCAAACAGGCCTTGAATTCACAGAGATCTACCTGCATCTGCCCGAGTGCTGGGATTAAAGGCATGCACCACATGGGCTGGCTTAAACACATTTCTTATTATCTTAACACCAACTAACCAATTTCATCCAAATACGGCAAGTATTGCTTCATGAAGCATCCATGACGATGATGTAAACATCTGATGAGTACCTAATCTGCCAATTTTCTGATTGGTTGTTCTTTCTATGCAACCCAGGCCCTTTTAGAGACAGGGTCTTATGGAGTCTAGGCTGGTCATGAACTCATGAAGTACCTAAGGACAACCCTGAATTCCTGATCCTAATGCCTTTTTACCTACTAAGTATGGGATTATCAGTTTGTACCATCATACTTAGAATCTGCCTGGCTCTTCAATGTCAACACTGCTTTTCCTTTGGCACATTGCTGATCACACCAACTCCTAGGATATAAGCTGCGATTCATGGTCATGGATGCCTCATTTTCAAAGACTAAGACTGGTTCTGTGCTTTCCTGTGACCTACTATACACAAAGACTGGGCTGCTCCAAACCATCTATGAATGTATCCCAGACTTCAAAGACTTAGTACAAAAAGGCATATTGTTAATCCCTACTAGAAATGTAACTCATCCTACATTTCTACTGAACAACACTGGGATAGATTCAAGTCCATTCTCAGAAAGACTGTGAATCTAACATATGCTTTCCCCTACAGTTTTCTAATGCAGGTTCCCATCAAGACTCAGGATTTCTACCAATGCCTGAGCCACAGCAAGTCCTGCAGCGACAGAGGGCTCTAGAGGACTGAATGTGACTGCTGAGCCCCTGACACCATCATCTGGCTACTTCCCTCAGCGCCCTCTAATGCAGTCTCTGCAGGTTCATCTCTCCCACCTCCTCTGTTCAGCACTGTTCACTCAAATCTCTCCAATTCAAATCAGATCATCTTTAAAGGATTCTTATGATTCAGTAATACAAACCCTTCCAACAGAGATACTATTTAAATTTCTCTAAATGTTTGTTTTACAAGCTCTATAGCCCGAGGCTATGAGTGTTCTGCTGGAACACTGCCTGCTCAGTCACTCTCCATCCCCTTCAGCACCTCTCCCCCTGCTTAGTAGCAGTTCCTGTTTGTACTCCTGTGCTTCCTCTGTTAGGTCAGCTCTATTTTCTTCTACTAGATACTGGCTCTGTGAGAAACACAACTGGAGTATCAGATGCAATGCTGTTCCTCAGTGCCTAGCACAAGGTTGATGAGTATTTTTTTTTTTAGATTTAGTTATTTGTTTATATTTATTATGTATATAGTACCTGCCTGCATGTATGTCTACAGGCCAGTAGAGGACACAAGATCTCATTATAGATGGTCGTGAGCCACTATGTTGTTGCTAGGAATGGAACTCAGGACCTCTGGAAGAGCAGCCAGTGCTCTTAACTTCTGACCATCTCTCCAGCCTTGAATAACTCTTATAAACTGTACTGAATGAATAAAGTATGTCTTGATTAATCATAGAACTACAGTAGGAACCTTATCAAATAAATATATTACTTTGTGGCCAGAGTGGCAAGCCCTTTTGTAGAGGTCAGCAGCAACAATGCCACTGAATAAATCCTAAATTGAATAATAAAGTAATCAATCCATCTAGTGGCTAAATTTTACTTAAAAGTATCTACAGTCTAAGCTTTATAGTGTAAAGACAGGATGTTGGGCAAAAAGACATTGAGGACATGAATCATAACTACATACATAGTAACAGCACAAACTGAGTACTCTGTAGGTACCTAGCACTATGTAACACGGTTAAGTACTATTACTATGACAGATGAAAATAGTAATAACTGAGGCACAACAAGGCAGAATAGCATTCTAAAGAAACAGAGCTAATAAGTGGCTAGGTTGGGACTCAAGTTCAGCTGGCACCCTTAAGTCTGTGCAATGAAGCGCTAACTGAATTTTGGTATTAACCCACTTGACAATGTAGTTTTAAGTAAAACTACATTAGAACAGGATGATGACAGCACTCTCTAGTAGTGGGGAGAGGTTACATTCCTCCAGAAACAATAAGAAACAGGATGCAAAATCCTCAAAGCAGGAGAATTTTACCGTTGTTTGAAGGTAAGTTCTATCCCTTAGGATTTGGCTTTGGCTATGTGAACTTAGAATTGCTACAAGATTTTCCCTGTTAAACAACAGAACTTACCTTAAAACAACGGTGTAAGTCTCCAGCTTCTCTCAGGCATTCAAGTGCTGACCATCACTTCCTGTGTGAAACTATGTCAGCAGCCAGGACTTCGGGCTGGGATGTAGCAGTGCAATGCCATCTCCCACAGAGAGACATCAGCACTCTCCACAGTCAGGGAGATAGGGAGACAGTGACAAGTACTGCTAAGACAGGGTGAAGGTTCCCTTAGCATTGACCTAGGAAATGACTGGGAGTTAGAGTTAGAGTGTATGTGTAGCCTATCCAGGTCAAAATACTAGTTTTCCCTTGGTAGCCACTGGAGAAATGGCCCAAACAAACCTGTCCTTGTGGTGAATTCTGAAGAGATTATTTTAAAAGTACAGGACAAAAATGGAAAGAAAAAAAAAACAAAAACAAAAAACAAGAAAAGAAAGAAAGAAGCCTTAAGTTGTGCCAGCTCAGGTATTCTAACTATAGACACAGGCTGAGAAACTCCTAGACCAACAATTTTACAGTCTTCAAAGATGCCCAAGGTACAATAACCAAAGGTGTCGGAAAATCATGTACAAAGATATGAAGATCAAAACCAATTTTTTAATCTAAAAACCAGAAGTTCTCTATAGCAAGGGATTAAACCACTTCTTTCTCAGAGATGAATTATCTCTTGGGCTAATCACAGCACATTAGGGAAGCCTTGTCAGCAAGGATTCCAGATATACTTCAGACTGAAACTTATTAAACAACATATCCATGTCTAGTTACGATGGGAGATCAAAACAAACACAGTCTTCTTCATTAAGACCCAATTGTGTAACAGGCACCAAGAACATACCTTGCAGAGCTTTTGGATATGCCGTGGGAGAAAGCAAGCAGACAAGTGGCTGTCCAAACAAGTTTGTGAAATTCTGCAATATATAAGAATTTAAGACTTTTATTAAAGATTTGACAAACTGTAGTTACCTAGTAATCTTCCAATGTATATACCTAGTATATAGACTGGGCTCATTAACTTACAAGCAGATGTGGAGATGGCAGCAGCTGCAGATATGCAGCTCATTTTCATTACCATGCATACCAATTTGCTAAAGGATTGCCACCAAAACAGTGAGGTTCACTAATGTGGACTACTGACTGTTAAAGTAATAGCAGATAAATAATTGTAGCTTTGATGTATCCACTGGATACATCAGGGTGGATTTTCCAGATCTAGCTTCCAGTCTCAAAGGCTCTGGGAATGGATAAAGTGCCTTCCTGAGTCTCGTGGCCACAATTCACACAGGATAATGCCAACGTGCTCCTTATAGAGAGCACTATGTGGAGCACTCAGGCTGCAAGTGGAGTACTCTGCATAATTTAGGATACCATTTCTCTAAAGGCAGATCTATTATAATAGATAAAATTTTAATAACATAAATTATTTGGTAAAGCAACAAAAAGATATATTTCCTAGGAGTAAATGGAATAAGTTAGAAAGTTAGAAATTCTAAAGATTAAAAATAAAGACAAATAAATGGAAAGATACATTATGCTGTTACAGATGAACCCATTCTAAAATGTCATGTTAATAATATATTAAAATTTGAAACAATCTCAATAAAAAGAGCTACTGGTGCCCCTCCTCCATAGAAAAATATACTGTTGAAGTTCACATGGCAAAATTAGTCAGGAAAACAAAAGAAAAGCCTCATCAGATATTAAAATATACTTAAAAATTTCTATAACTGAAATGTGTGGCACTGGCACAGGAGTGGCCCAAAAACAAACAGAACAGTATGGGAAGTTCAGAAAAGAACTTGCTAACACATAGGACTTCTGTGTGTGTAACACGGTGACCTGCAAACACAGAGGACTTCTGTGTGTGTGTGTAACACGGTGACCTGCAAACACAGAGGACTTCTGTGTGTGTGTGTAACACGGTGACCTGCTAACACACAGGACTTCTCTGTGTGTGTGTAACACGGTGACCTGCAAACACATAGGACTTCTGTGTGTGTAACACGGTGACCTGCTAACACACAGGACTTCTCTGTGTGTGTAACACGGTGACCTGCAAACACATAGGACTTCTGTGTGTGTGTAACACGGTGACCTGCAAACACATAGGACTTCTCTGTGTGTTTAACACGGTAACCTGCTAAGACAGAGGACTTCTGTGTGTGTAACACGGTGATCTGCAAACACACAGGACTTTTGTATGTGGAAAACAGTGACCCACAAACTCATAGAACTTCTGTATATATAACAGAGCTTTTTTCCCCCACATTTAGAAAAAAACATGCTGTCTCCATATTCCATGCTATATATGTGAGTAACAAATCAATCAAAAATCTAAATGAAAAAAGAAGTGACTAAAGTGTTGAGCAAAAATATAGCAAGTTATTTTTGTGGCTTGGAAGCCCTTCCTAACTATTATGATTGCTAAGATTAATATAAGCCATGAAATGTGGAAATACCCTCAATTCCAGCACTTGGAAAATGAGGTAGGAGGGTCAGGAGATGGAGTCAGCCTGGGCTCCATGAGACCACATCTACAAATAAACAAACAAACCATATCACCACCACCACCACCACCACCACCACCAAACCCAAGCTTGGCTATCGTGCATGAAGTCTGGGCTCCATTCCCAGCACTGAAGAAAGCAATTATCCCACAGCATTATTCCACATTTTGGAAATGCCTGTGGGTCCTAGTCTGCTGCTCTTGCTCTGGATAGTGCTAAAGTGGATCATCCATTTCCTCAAGGTCTCTTCTTTCTGCTTGCTAGTCAAACCCTGTCCTCTGATATATCTCATATACAAACATACACGTATACACAAAAAAGACTGTAGTTATTACAGCAGGTCTGAGTGCCAGCTCATAAAGTTAGCTTTGGCTGGTTTCTGGAAGGTATGTGAGGGAAGACTCACATGATTAGGTTTGCTCTGCCTAGATGGAGCAAATGAGACACTTTGGGGGACCCCAGCACTCCGTCTGGAAGCCTGGCAGAGGATGTCTTGGTGATCAGTTCCCAATCTAAGCCTTCACTTCAGTTCTCTCGTGGAGTCAGGCTGTAAAGTTTGGGACTAGGTCTTATGTAATCCAGGTCACTTGTGATCCTCTGGTTTCCATGTCCCAAATGCTGAGGACAGAAACCAGAGCTTCGTGAATTCTAGCAAACACTCTACCAACTGATCTGCACCCCTAGCTCTGTAATAAGCAACCCTAAAAGAAAGTACTTAATCCACACGGAAAGAATTTGTTGTTGGGGAAATAAGAGCATTTTGTGTGACGACTGGGCCAGCACCTGGAAGTTTAGACCTGATTTTCCCCAGACTTCCTTACATTCCTTATCCTTTGTTGATTTTGCTATCTTCATCTTACTGTACTAAGTCTTCACATAATTTTATTCTGAAATAAATAAGTCCTCCTTGAAATTTTGTGCATTTGGGGGTTGCCATAGGCTCCTGAAAGATAATATCAGGTTGTATATATAATTTATTTACTAGGATACAGGGTCTCGTGATGTTGTTTAAGTTGGACTTGAATTCTGAGGATCAAGAGAAACTTCCATCTCAACCTCTTGAATATTTGAGACTATAGGCACAGGTGACCGACCATGCCTGGCATATCAGATTATATTTAAATTTAAGGACTTGGTAAAATATTTGCCACATAAGCATGAGGATCTGAGTTTAATGCCTAGTGAACACGTGAAAGGTAAAATGTGGTAACGTGTGTTTATAATACCATCATTGGGAAGACAAAGACAGATGGACTTGGGGCTCATTGGCCAGCTAACCTAGAATGATAGGCAAATCCTAGGTCCTAGTGAGAGCCTCTATCTAAAATAACAAGATGTAGCAGGCAAGATGGCTTAGCTCGCATCCATTTTTGGCAACCAGTTTGATCCCTAGAAACCAAGTGGTAGAAAAAACGAAGTGACTCGAAGTTGTACTCTGACCTCCATACACACACAACCCACTCTGATGTGCAAAACAATCCCACACCAGTTAGTATTTAAAGGGGCATTTATTTTGGGGTTAAAACTCACAAAGTACCAACCGTCAGGAAAGGAGCCTAGTTGCCAGAGCAGGAGCAGGAACCAAGCGCCGGAACCAAGAGAGGTGGGGAGGACACCAGCAAGATTTATAAGTAAATATTAGCCTCAAGGGATCCTGCCCTACAAACAAGGTGATTGGCTGGGCTTCCCCTACATCTCCCCCTTTTGCCTAAATAAGACAGAACCAAACCAAATACAACTATATATAATAGGAACAAATAATAAATATAAAATTACAAATAACAAACAATATTAAGCAAGAAACATATAACAAAAGTTTCACTAAACATTCTATTTCAAGGAGTCTAAATAATGTAGAGAGTAACTACAATTATCTAATCTTCAACTCAATCAAAGATCTGAGAAGGGAAGTAATATTACTTAAGCAACCAGGAATTACAAAGGAGAAACTTCCAAAATGTGCACAAATGCAAAGACAACTGACTACCTGGGCAATCACCCAAAGTCTCGTTTGCAATGCTGAGTCAACCAACTTTGGCTAAGGCCTAACATAACTGACATAGCATTATCAAAGGCAAGGAACTTTTTTAGAACTACTCTGTCTTGGCAAGATAAGACAATCCTCAACATACATGCATATGTGTGCATGAGTGTGTGTGTAATTAAAAACTGAGGGGTATTGGAGATATGGCTCAGCAGTTAGGAGCACACTCTACTCTTCCAGAGGATCCAAGTTTGGTTCCCGGCACTGATATGTCAGGTATCTGACAATTGTCTGTAGCTCCAGGCCTAGGGGATCCAATACCCCTTATGGCCTCTGTGTACAACAATACATATGTGGTACACACACACACACACACACACACACACACACCCCTTAAAAAATGTGTAAGTTAAAAACTGTATCAAACTGCAAGGCCTGGTGATTCATGCCTATAACTCGGGAGGCTGAGACTGCAGGACCTCAAGTTCAAGACCAAACTGAGCTGCATAGCAAGACTGTCTCAAAACAAAACAGAATAAAAACTCCAGTACTAATTTACATCAATAGACATGGTATCCTTTTAAAAAGTCTATTTTCAATAATAGACGATGGAACAGACTCTGTCTCATATGCTAAAGATAGGATAGTAAACAAAACAGAAAAACCCTTTCTCCCTGAAGATAACATTTGGACAGGGATACAGATATAGGCAGGCCCCCAGTAAACAAAATGAATAAATTACATAAAACCCTCAAAGGTAACAAGGAGTCTGGGTACAGAGCATGGAATTCAAGCAATTACATCAGTAGCACAGGTTTTATAATCAGAGTGTTTAAATCTAGCTTTGCTACTACTTAGTTTGGTGTGTGACCTTGGGTAAAACTGCTTCAACTGGGTATGGAGGGATGGCTCAGCAGTTAAGGTCTCGTTGCAGAAGACCTGAGTTCATTTCCCAGCACCTACACGTGCTAAGAACCATCTGTAACTCTAGTTCCAGGGGATTTGGCACCCTCTTCTGGCCTCCACAGGCATTATATGCAGGTGGTATATAGACATGCGTATAGACAAAATATCCACACATATAAAAAATAGAATATTAAAAAATGCTTAAACTTCCTGTGCCTTAGTTTTCTTATTAGTCAAATGAGGATAATAAAAATGGCAGTGGTAAGCCTGAAAGTATGATCCTATAATTACTATTGTTACTTGGGAGGCTAGAGTAGGAAGATTATAAGTTCAAGGCTGCTCTGAGCTATAAGCAACTTAAGTGAAACACCACTATCTCTAAATAAAAAAGAAAAAGAGAGCTGGGGATGAAGGTAGGCAGAATGCTTACCTAGTGTATGTGAGGCCCTGTATTCAAACTCAGTACTGAAAAAAGTGACAAGTTATCTGTGAGAATTAAATGTGCTTAAGTACA